AGGAAGAAATAATGGAAGTCTGAATGTCATAGCTAAGCTAAAAACCCTGGTGACTTTTTTTTCCTATTTAGTGTTATGTCAAAATAGACACTAAAAGGGAAGAGGAAAAAAAAAAAAAAAAAAAAAAAAGAACAAACCCAAGGGCCAACGGAAATGAACTCTGCATTCCATGGCAGAGAGAGGCTCAGAAGAAGATATTTCAGGCTGCAGCTACTTACAGGAACTGCACTACTAATAGGACAGAAACTGAATAGCTGAGAAGACCAAGTACCTACATGGCTTCTTCTCCGTATAAATTTAAAGGTCATACTGTACAATGATAGAAAAATTTGAATGTACAAAAATGGAAAAGATTGGAATATTTTATCTTTTAGAGATTACAAAGGGTATGAAGCTACCATTGCGTGTATCAGAAATACTGGAGAAATATAAAATCCAGCTTGAACATCACGGATCTAGCTGAAGGTTCAGTACTTTAAGGAGAGGGGCAAATCTTCAGCTATGAGAAGCATTCAAAGTAGACCTAAAACACCTTGTGAGAAACAAATCTTTCCCAGGACTAAGTAAGACATACTCCAAAATGTTCCCTCACAACCTTTTTAGCAACACAATCCTACATTTGCTTTCTGCAATAGAAACTGCTACTGGAATGTTTAAAAAAACACCAAAACAAAATAAAATATAAACAAGTACAATACAGATGAGGGAGTGAGGTTGCTTCAGTGCAGCTGATCATACATACCCTGCTTTCTATCTGTGCTATTTTTTAACCTTGTTGTAGGACTGCTCATTTCCTAGTACACATTGTTCCTCTCATCTGTATTGCAGCCGATTTCACCCCCCATATATTTGTTGAGGTGAGCAGAAGGGACATGTCAATTTGTTTAGGCACTTTCATTGTTTAGGCCCTAACTAAGAGGAGCCTAAGGGAACGAGCCTTTGGAGTCAACAGAAAGGGCAGCAGCCAGCACCAAGCTCAGCCACTTGCTGAGAAGCAAAGGATGCCCAGATGCTGGGGGCTGAGGGCTGCCTCTGCTGCAAACAGAGCACACATACTGCGTGACAGGAAAATCTGTGGGTCTCCTTACAGCTCCCAGCTGTCCACTCTTTAGAGCTAAAGACAGCTTCTGCCATTTCAAGGTGCTATTTATAAGTAGCCCTGCAAAGTACCAGAAGGAGCAGAGACGTCATAGCCTGGAAGTGCGCACCAGCTGCCATCGGGAGCCCAGACTGGCACAACTTTCTCCTGGGGGTTTTTCATTTCGTGCTACTGAGGTGACACTGCCACCAGTAAGTGCTGCTCACCCCCCTTGTGAGATGCTGCTCACCCACCTTGTGGAGACAGGCACTGGAGGTCTCCAGGTGCAGAGAAGCCCAAGGCTTTGCTGTTAAGTCTTGAGAGATTTTCTTGCTCATGTTTTTGTTTAAATGTTCTCAACAAAAACAATTTCGTTTGTAGAGGGCAAAACAAGAACCAAGGTCTGCATTTTCCCACTGCAAGATAAGAAACTTCAGAATTCTCATACCAGAATAGCCACTACAAATATCATGTAACTATTGACGTGAGAGCTTCTTTCTCCAGTAACTGCATTTCCCAGAGCTTCCTGTGATTTCTTGTCTAAGAATACTTTCTCATTTAGTGAAAACAGACTCATTCTCTAGCAACACGCCTTAGAACTCCAGTAAATAATTTTTAAATTATTAACTTGCAGTCCCAGCAAACTTTCAGCACAAAAGACAGTAAGTTAACAACTGAAAAGTGTATTTTCTCTCTGACTTCTTCTGGACTTCCACCTCACATGCAAAATGACACACGTTGCCCACAACTAAGGAATTTTCAATTAAGCATTACAGAAACCATTAACCATTCATCAGTAATATTGAATATTTCAATTAATAATTTCTTGGACAAATATCACATTAGAATAAGACTTCTAAAGAAGTGATTGATGTGACAAAGTCAGGTTCAATAAAAACGTGGTGATTCCCTTTAGACCTATACACACTGTCCTTGTGATTAAAAATGAAAAATATTGGTAGACAAAGCATCCTGTATGATCTGAGGCACTTAAGTCTTTTGCTAAAGAAAAACCTGAAATTAATCTGGGGTGGATAAGAAGTGCTTGAATTTAGAACTTAGTATTACCATGTTCATTCCATCTTATACCTGCTGTAGAGAAGCAAACATTCAGCATATTCAGTGTGCCAGTTATCACCACTATGATTATATACAATAGTGAGCACATGCAAACAGAACACAAAAATTACCTTTTCTAGAATTCTACACTTGATCCTTACAAAAACTCCCTACCCAAGCCTTTTTTCATTCATTGAATGGAGAATCACTCAATTAAATGTTATTAGTCTGGTAAGCCCCATCTTTTGTTTAGGTATTAAAATACCAGGTAATATTCCAGCCTAATATAAGCTTGGAGAGAAGAGTTTATTACATTATTATTTTTTAAATACTGAAAAAAAAAATTAAGGGGGATTTGTCACTATTAAACACAAACATATTGAAAAAATACATGCATCAATTTATCTGTGGATCTATCATAGAATTTAGCCTGAGACGGAGTGCATTGACTGAGAATCCTTACAAAAATAAAATTAAAGCTGATTCTAACCAACTCTTTGTAGCACCAATGTCCACCCCAACAAGCCATGTTCTGGAAGATGTACAGACACACCTTCCTTAGCCAGTCCTGGGTAACCAGGCATTTGGTTACCCATGACATCAGGTTTCTCAGCCCTGCTGCCCAAGGAATGTTTTTCCGCCTCAGTTATTATGTCAGTGATGGAAATTAGAGTGGCAGCAGCATCCTTGAACTGAAGAGTGCATTTCTGAAAGTCACAATGTTTGGAGGAACTTCCCTCCAGCCTCAGTGTGGCAGCCTTTGGCAGAACCTGAAGAAAGCAGCCAGACAACACATGTCAGTCCTTGACACACCCTGCCCAGAGGTGGAAGCAGCACCTGTGGAAGTATCTTATAAACACTAAGCCAAGTTTTCAGTGCATCAATACTGGCTCAGGGAGAAATCTGAGCTTTAACCCAAATACACTATTTAAATACATAGCTGAATGCTCCACAATGAATATGAATTTACAGCTACTTAACACTTCATAAACATGTTTAGCAACTGAGCCTTTTGATATCCCATATTTTTATCAAGCTGCCTTCTAAGTCTGAAAGCAAATATAATGGAGAATCAGCATTAGTTTCTCCAAGGGAAGGCAAAAGAGAAAAAAAATATATTTTATATATATATAAGAACAAAATATATTCTTATATTCATATTTGGTATGCATATTTCTGGGAGTTATACAACTTAAGTTCTGCAAGGCAATTTTCTGAACTTTCACTGACAAACAAATCTGATCTGAAAAATCTTACATCAGCAGGGTTGGTTTGCAGATGTTATTTGTGCCATTTATTTATCAAAAATAACTAGAAAATGTTTTTAAAACATCATTCCAGACTGTACAAATAGGACTGTGACACGGGCTGTCTGTTTTACTTATACTGTTTTACTGCTTCGTATTCTGAGCAAACAGAGAGGCTATATTCCCCAGGGGTTCAGGAGGGCATACTATTTCATTTCTTCAGAAAATTGTTTCTCTGGATTTCAATCTTTTTAGCTAGATATGACAAAATATAATATCAAGAACACTTATCCTTTTGATCAGCTCTATTTTCAAAGCATAAATAATAGATCAGTATATATTTAAGTCAGGTGACCAAGTCTTATTTCTGAAATCAAATAAGCATTTTGCAATTTTTAAACGATGCTGTACATTTTCACTACAGCATCATTATGCCTTTAAAATGCTTTCAAAAGACTAATTTATAAGCATGAAGTGAATTTGAAGACACTTCACTAGTGTTAATAATACCTCACTCAGGTAGCGTTCAATTTTCTGAGTTCTTGGGTTAATGAGGCAAATAAATCAAAATTAAATTGGCCTAGGGAAAAAAAAAATCAAACAAAATGGCATCTATTACGTTATACATTCTGAGATTCCTTCAGTACTGTTCACAATGGCAAACAATATTCCAGCTCTCAGAATCATTACACTTACTCAGAATCAGGGATTAATCTCACAATCTGAGATTTAAAATCAAATAGATCAGACTTCATGACTAGACAAATATAATGCCTTATTATGATGTATCAGGAGTATTCACAAGATGTTGTGCACAGTCTTAGCCAAGTACTTTCCATTAAGTGTCCATAATTTCAGCTGCCTACTATTTCTTCAATAATTCAAACAATTCCTTCCAAGAGGATTTTACCATTGCAACCTGCTAGGTCTTTTAAGATAAGCCTTAAAAAGAAAATCCATTGTGCAACCAGGCTATCATTCACCATTTTTTTAAAAGCCCCAAAATCACATAGATCTAGGCAAATAGCTGAAACAAACAAAAATCCTAGCATTTCTGAAAAATAAATACTTCTAGTCATACTGCTATAGTATGAATCATGGAAAAAATATTACCTTCACCCCTTTCTCTAAAATATGAGAGAAAGGAAATATTTTATAGATACTATAAAAAGGATCCTACTGTTGGGGAATACCAGTGTTGTCAGCTCTTTTAAAAAAAGTGTTTAATAATATACAATACAGAAAACTAAAGAGGCTGAAATTGTTACCAGAAGTAATAAATTCAGCATGAGCAAATAACAATCAACAAATAATGACACACAATGAGCAGCTGCCATTGTTATCCCCTTATTACTTGTAGTCAAGCAACCAATGCACTTCTCTATGCAGTGTCACCCATCTGCACCAGGGCAGCCTTGCAGCCTAAGGAACTTACTCAGAACACGGAGCCCCAGCTGAAAAACAAACTTCCCCCCTGAGCTGCCATCACCTGCTAAGTCAGCAGCATAGACCCAAGACTTCCATATATACAGTATTTACATTTTTTTTAAATTGAAAACACTGTAGAAAAGTAGGTTGGGTATTTTTTTTTTCCCAAAGTAACTCACTACTGACTATTAACATTTAAAATTTATTGACAGCAAAAAAGCTCAACTCTACGTTTTTGCATATTTTAAAGGAATTAAGGGTCTAAGTGCCCTTAAGTGGTACATGCCAAAAATCAACAAGAAACGAAACAAAAACACGTTTGCACATTGTCCCCAGGTAGCACCTGCCTTAAGGCTTTGCAACACAGTTTGCATGGTCAAGATCTTGATTAGGAGTAAGTTATATGGTGATCTAATAAATTTGTTTTGATTTTACTCCCTGCGGACATACAACACCACAATAACTACTTGCTAGAAAATAGTGAGCAAAAGAAAGACACCTTTGCGTTGCATTAGAAAAGCTTTTAGTTTTATCATCTATAACAAGTGCACACATACAGCAAGTGAGCAACCTCCAGGCAGGAATTAAAAGACCAAGCCAGCCTAGCAAAAGCACCCCTCTGCTCATGGTAGGTTTGGAAGGGAGTGGCTCCTTTCTGTCCCTATTCCACAGCAGCCACTGGGGACAGCTGCCTCCTGTGACCCAGAATGGCTAAATGGTTTTGGGGGCTAGGGGTTTACATTTTTGACAGCTGAAAGAAAGCCTTTCCAAAAGGTGTTGCTTTCACCTCAATATAAACAAAATAAGCCCTTTCCCAGCTCCTGAATTAAAGTTCAGTGCCTAACTCTGGTACACCAACACCATTCAGTGCTTGGCTGCTGATGAGGCAGGTATTTTACAAGAACGTGAAGTTCTACTTCAAATTATCCCTTTGAGTTTAGGTTGTGACAGACAACACTGATAGAGTCACCATTCAATGGTCACTCAATTGCTTGCTCAGAATGACACAATAATTTTTTTCTGATTCTTAGTTCACAGAACAGAAACCACAACTGCTATCAGTCCTCTCAAGGCCTTATGCTCTTTGGCAAGGAGTACTGATTTGTGTTTTTATAGCACTACCAGGTAGTGGTTGTGCACCATTATTATCCAAATAATTTATAACAAGTGAGAAAGAACATCTGGAAATAAACCAAATGCATCTTGATCTGCTCAGGAAAAAGATGAAACATTGCTGGGGCACCTAAAAACAGCCTCTTAAATCAGTATGTGATGCACATCTGAGATGCTCTGATGTTCTGAAAGGCACTTAAAAGCATGTAAACTTGCATTATTACCATGCACATAACCAACTCACGAGTATTATCACGGAAGCAACATGAACAGAGTGACATGTCAACTGCCTGCAGGATCAGGCTTTGGCCATAAATTAGAATATGAAATTTAGATTACATTAGAACACAACGTTTAAAGAAACTCTTTCAGATAAAAAAAGTACTATAAAAGTCAATGGCACCAGATTCCTTTCTACCACTAAAACAATGTTAATTTAAAAGCCAAGATCCATTTGAAAACATTTACCTGTAAATCAGGAAGTCCCCAGAGATTAATTTCTGCACTTATGCTATTTGCAAAAAATATTTAACTTAAAGGCATTCCTTTTTCTCTGAAATAATTGCATGCAAGATGACAACTAAAACACAATCTGAAGCGTAGTAAAGGTAATTGCTGCACTTACTGCTCATGTCATGTTGATGTATTACTACGTATCAAAGGTCACAGTTCTGTACTCATACATTATCAAATTTGAAAGAGCAATATTCGAATCCGACCAACCTTTAAACTACCCCGAATCTGTGTGAAAATGGATGCAGGTTAACTTGGATTTAAAAAAAAAAAAAAAAAAAAAAAAAAAAAAAAAGAACCCATGTTTCGGAAGCTGAGGGGTCAATCAAGCCAGGCTGACAGGGTTACGTGTCACTTCTGTGCATCTAATACCCTCTTAGCTTATCAGTGAGATGCAGTACACTGATCACAAGCTAAAGCAGCTGTGCTAATGAAAATGAAACAGTCTGAAAAAATTAGGTAATACAGGCCTGTGACACAGGGCAGTGCCTTGTGGACAATAATGGAGGAATAAAGACATAAATCACCATTTAGATACAATAAAACCTGCAATACCCACCCTGAAATGTCTATGGAATCGTGGGCCAAAGTCAGCACCTTCACAACTCCACAATTCTCTCTGAAGCTGCCACATATTTTCAATCCTGAATCAAGGCAGGTTTTCCCTGCCTCTACTTCAGCACACAAAATTTTGTAGTCCTGTGCCAGGCTGACCTTTGAGGGTGGAGAGCTGGCTGCTCATGCCATGAGCCAAGAGTTCTCACAATTGGCTACAGCACAGACAAATGGGTCTTATCAGAAACTACTCAACCTTGAACAACTTTCTTCTCCTACATATGCCAGTCCAACTAGGGGGGCAGGGACTGCACTAAAGAGGCAGGGGCCCCCTCATCCTTGTTTGGAACATATGGGGGCCTCATATGTCCTATGTTACAAAATTCAAGTTGATTAAGTACAGCCAGCACAGAAGGAACTATTAAACAGAATTATCACCTCAAATCATCAATTAAGCTCAGGTAAATAAATAGCTTTTTCATGATCCGTTTTTTCCTCAAGAAGTTACATACATAGCAAAACCAGCATATATTCAAATAACAAGCTATGCAACTTAATTTCATTTGCTTTAAAATTTGGTAAGCCAGTGAGTTTCAAAAGGGGAGCACAAGTTAAAATATTTTCTCTATTATAAGCAGAAAAGCTAAGACAGACTTCCTGACATTTCAGGAAGTCTATTAGAGCCTAAGAATTCACACTAATTAATGTTTTTGCCATTGATTTTAATGGAATTTCAAGTGCAGGTGATGTATAGTCAAGGCTACATCTAGGATTAGAATGATTAAAGATAATATTTCTGATTAAAGATAATATTTATAGTACATAAGCACACATACCTTTTACTAATGCAACAAGGCTACTACAACAATAGCATCTATAAATATACAGGAACTCCTGTTCAAATAAAAGTTTAATATACAAAAAATGCAAGTACAAACATTCCTAAAGAAATAACAACTTTCACATTTCCTTTAAAACATCATTCAAAACAGTTTTCTTAAAATGAATTTTCTTGGTGGTTTTGTAAATGGTTTTTGAGTGCTGAACAAGTCAAAATTAAGTTTCGTCAACTGAGCAGAACTCCTTGAAGTGATGCAAGGAATTAGAGGGCAGACCACTTGAGAAGAGCTGGAAGGTCTTTGTTGCTTGAGTTTTCTACAAATCCAGCTTCTCTATTTTCATTGCGGCAGCAAAATGGAGAGAGAAAGAGAGAAAGAATGATTATTTCAATATAAGTTTACAAATCTAGAGATGACTTTGAATTTACAAATTGAACATCCAAAATTGTCAGCTCTCCAGTATATACACCCCTTGATTTCTCCTTTATCTGATTATCTCGGGATTTTGCTGCATGTATTCCTTTCTAGCAGTTGCAATCTCCCTTTTGCAAATTATTTTTGTCACACAACAAAAGGAGAATACATGATTTTACAGTGGCAAAGGGTTATGAAGCCCTCCTGAAAAACATTAGTAATTGTTCACTGAAAATCCTAGCAGTACAATGCTAGGTACGTACAGTGGCAGCTTTGAAATAGATTTATTCCCACAGTGACTACTGTGAGAAGTAACCAGTATTACAAGACTTGGTCAAGACATCCCCTTCTACCCAAAAATTTAAGTCATGATCAAATTGATTTTATGCAACCTTGAAAGTTATATGATACAGTGCTTTAGATTTTTCACTGTTGCAAAGTTAAATAATCTATTGAGAATCTTTCAAGTGTTTGCTTTAATATCAAAACCCCATGGTTTGGGAACAAATTATTGTATAATCAATACATTTCATTTTAAAGCCCTTCTCACTATCCTGCCTATCACATACCTCTCTAGGTCTTATTCTTCACAGAGGCACAGAATCGTTATTCTTTCAGAGAAAAGATTGAATGTGACCTGACAAGACCCCAGAAAGGCCCACAAATCAAAAGCAATGGTGAAGTCAAATTCCTTGAGACTCGTGATCTTAAGGGACAACTCAATTTCTTATTTTTTTAGACGCTGAGGGGTAGCAGTTCCCATTGTTAAGCACCATTGGAACTTACTCTATCTATAGTATAAACAAATGTCTAGTAAAAACCCAAAGCTAAGAAATTCCCATCTACTCAGGGATGCCATTCTTTTCCTACAAACAACAAGAATCCAAAGCAGGAAGTACACTGAATTTCAGACTACCAGACAATCTCAACTAGGACACATTTCTGATGGAAGTTTACAGTTTGTCCTCTGACAAAAACATTGGTGCATGACTACACACCAGGATCTGGAGCCAACAACCCTATGCCAGTCAACCCCACCAGCTGTAATTCCTTGCTTTCATCACCTTCCACAAACCTGAGAGATTTGAACTCCACCTAAAGACCACACCATGGAAGAGAGGAGCACTGCCAAAGACCAGTAATCATTTCACATACATTTTCCTGCCAGTGAATCAAAACTTCCTGACAACCACGAAAAATCTGTCACCCATATACTGCCATTAACTACATACTTAAGCAATTATCAGAAATCATATGCCATCAATCAAACAAATCCACTGGTCATGGAGAAATCTTTTATTGCCCTCTCATTTTAAATCTAATCCCTCCTGCAAGGATATTTGCCCAAATGATTAGGAATTTTCTTTATTCTAATCTTTATTCCTGGAAAACTTACTCTCCCCTTCTAATGTCTGGATGTATCTGCAGCCTTTTCTTAAATTAGCCTGTACTACGGATATGTTTTCTGTACTAGTGTAGTGAGTCTCCTTCAGAGGCTCACTACACCAGAAATCTGGACAGGTTTGAATTTTACCAATTCTAGAACGGAACTGAAACATGACATGCTGACATCTGAGGCATTAACTTTCACGTGACTGGACGGGAAAGGATTTCTTAAGAGAGCTTAGGAGAAAAAAACCAAACTAAACCAAAACAAGTCTGTAAGACATGGAAGGAAATGAAGGCCTACAGATGTTGCTTGAGAACACTCAGGGAACTGGTCAAATGATTATTTGCCAAAGACACAAAATGAATCTTCAAGGTTACTGTTCTAGTGCAATATTCACAGACAGGACATCCCTTACCCCACAAACAGTTTTCCTCATTGTAGAATACTTAAAATCTCACTCCAGAAGCAGAATAAATAAGGAGAAGCAGCTTATTTAAAATTGTCTTTACATCCAGTACTCTTGTACTGAATGTGTTCAGACTTTACAAAAATTAAAAGACTTCTTAAGTTTTTAACAGCAGACTTAGTTATTGAATAATGAAAGTTTCCTCTAGCCTACTCACTCCTTCAGCACCACAAAACCATGTTGCCAAGTTCAGAACCATGTACCAACAGAGATGTGTTTACCCTAGGCTTTGAAGGTTAAAAAACTTTTTAAGTCTCTCATAATAGCTAGACAGCTTTTTTTTCTAGCAAGTTATTGTCATATGCTTATTCTGGAACTACCCCTAAAAAGCAAACAAAATTCTCCAATAAGATTCCTTGTCAATTCCATATTATTTCCGACATAGGAACATGATAGTAACCTGAGTTATGTACTGCCATGTAGTAACAGCCAAATCCTACTACATTTTCTGAAAAAATCTCTTCAAGCTCATCTTTTTTATCTCTTAAGTCTTGCTTCTTAAAGAAAAAAAAAACATTATCCCTTCTCTCCCCCAATTGTTTTACTCCATCATTAAATCCTTCCATTAGCTTCTACTCATGCAACACATGGGGTTCAATCTTCTCAGCTTCAAGGCAACCATAACCACCCTTAGTTACTTGCTTTTGATAATCTCTAAACCATTCCTAAACCATCAGCTTTTGCATTACCTTCATTTTCCATTCCTTGGGAGCTTCTCTTTCCTGCATGGAGGCTAAACAGATTTCTTAAGGAATCGCCATACCAAGATTCCACTTAATGTTTTAATTCAAAATATCCAAGGGCAATCAACTGTGCTCTCGTTTAAAAGACGTATTAGAAATTTAAATACTATTGCCTTTTTAAACTCACTTCTAAAGTAAAATGTAAATTTGACCACGTAATTCCAATTTATTTTGAACTAGAACACTCATTTGTCTTTTGTGGCAGAGTTTTTACACAGCCAATTTATAAACTCTAAGTGAATAAAGGACATTTCTACAGTTATTCAAAATATTCCAGAGTCAATAAAAACACTACATCAACAAGCTTGCTAAATATTACATCACTACCCCACTCAATTTTGCTTTTCATCCTGGCTGCAGAAAGAAAAGGGGGCTCCTATGACATCATACAAGTCTAGTTCTGTGAGAAATCTCAGTACTTCTAAAAAAATTGAAGTTTGAGTACAGGAGAAGTAAGAAGACAAAATGTGGAACCACAGTATTTCTCTAATTTTTTCCCTCTACTTTCTTCCATTTCGTCATTCTTAGGAGTGAAACTGCAACTGGATTAAATATAACAATTGCTGTAGTTTTTTTGTCTACATACTCCTACTTCCAAGGTTATTTCAGTGTTACTAAGACACGACTAAGTGTGGTTACTGCTGTTCATTTACAGGTATTTTTGGATTCAATTCCTGTTGGACAGGTGCCTTTTACTATTGCCACAGTTACAGTACACAAGAAGCAACTGCTGCAGAAACAGAATCCTCTTCCCATATTTATATCAGGACTGGGGCAACCACACTTGGCAGGAGTAACATGTGAATGCTTACTGTAAAATGAGAAAAGCTCAGTCCATAACAGTCATATGCATCATCGTGAGCCTAAATTCATCCACAGATTAACCCTGGGCCCTCATTTATTAGAGCTGCTTTAAAAACCCCAAAACCCTGAAAAATTAGAAAGCTAAAAATAGATGTTTCTCTACCAAAATTCTAGGACATCCTTATCAACCTTCCAGCCTTCTCATGCAGTTAATGGAAAAGACTGCTCATACTTTTTTTTTTAAGTATGAAAGTCTTTCAGGACAATTCTATCATGCACTTAAAACAGACCTAAATCTTCTTGCGCTCAAAAGTTGTAGGTATTTATGTGAAAACAAAGCAGTTTTCATATTCTAAAAAGTATTTGTTTTCACATCTGGTTGGCTGTCTCTACTTGATATATTTGATATATTCAGTGATATATTAAACAAAAAAGTACCAATCACTTCTGCGTAAAGTTGCTCATGTCACATTTAAGAATCCTGGGAGAAACAATTCCCCACCCCCCCTCCAAATACTAAGTCTCCTTCTTCAAAAAAATGTTAATATTCTTAAAATCCTAAGAAACATCAGTTTCTTTGGCAAAAGCAGGACATGTGAAAATATACATGTCCCAAGGTAGGTCCAATATCAAGTTTTCTCAGTCAATTCTAGAGATATTATATGCATTACAGCTCAGTCACTGCTTGTCATGGAGAGGACCTGAAATTACTCTACAAAAGACCAGACATTTCAGATGCACATTTTTAAAAGGAAGTCATATCTGTGCCTAGAGTAACCTTAAGTTCTGAACTGACAGTAATTCATGCCTTCATCTCCCATATGACTTATAATGTAAGTACATCAAAAATTTACCATACTGAATTACTCACATGGTCTGTGTTTTTTTTTCCTCTCCAAAGAAATAAGCCTTTAAGCAGATAAATCAGTGAGGCACAAAATGCAGTGTAGAGATTAGCAACATAAAAAAAAAATAAGTAGGCTTTACCATCTTTCAGGCAAAATTGTTTCCATTTTAAATAAATTCTGTAATCTAAAATATATTCTCTAAAAGTGTTAAAAAATTTATTTCCCTTACCACTTCGTACCTTGTACTCTTCTCATACTGTAAGACATGTCCTGAAAAGGGACTGTTTTCTTTGTATTCCCAACTAAAACACATAAAATGCTTTTTTGCTACTTATTCACATAAGTATAGGCCTATGAGTACTCCTTTAATCACATGCCTACATTCTGTCTATTAAGACTACTAATTAAAATATTAATTGCAATTAATATGGTGAAACAGAAAAAAAATTCCTCCTTAATCTAAATACAGACCACACTTGTTTCTGACTGATGCAAGGCTGAGCTTCTAAACTATCCCCAAAGAATCAGAAAATAAAGCAGTAACCAAGACAAAAAATTAATCATTGTTCATGTAATAATTATGTCTTGTATAAAAGCATGGATACTAAGGTCACATTGAGAAACATGCTTTTCTTGTAGAGGACTCTCAAACTACTAAGATTGAGTGATTTTATTGTCTTTACAGTGTAAAAACATTTCCCTTTGGAACAAAGACATTAGATTAAAAGTGGTTTTGAAATTTGCCTCTCTCTGTAGGGAGGTACACAACACAAATAGAACTTTTATCGTAAATATTACTAAATCAACCAAGTCACATATGTTCACCATTTATTTCTAAAAAAATCTGATTGATTTAGGTACCTCACAGATACCAGAAAACCTCTAAACCAGGAAGCCAGCTGTTACATTTAACAGGAAATGTGCAACAAGTGTCCTTAGCTTAAAAAGTAACGCAATAGAAGAAAATACATTTTCAGTAATCCAGCAGCAAATATTCATTGCAATTGTAACATTAAATAGTATCAACAAGCTTTAGGTACAGTTAGAAAAGCCTTTTGGCAAATGCACGTGCACCTTACCCTTTTCATCAGCGATCTATTTCTACTCTATCAAAGCCACCTTAGCTACAGACATGGCTCCTTTTAAGGTGGCACATTCCTTCTGAACTTGCACAAAGTAACTGTAGAATAGTGCATACAGCAGAACATTAATTCTATTCAGTTTTAGGAATCACAAAGCAAGTATTGCTGCTAGATGTCTTTATTTTCCTTCAACAAAATACACAAAGGCACAAAATTCACTTATATCTTGTCATTATAGTACAGGTATAAATAGTGCTTTGTATTCAAGTACAATCAAGTGCAGAGACTTCTTATATTTTATGTAAACACAAAACAGTTTTGCAAGTAGGTGCCTCTGGTTCATCTGCAACGCAAACACCAAAGGAGATGCCATTTATCCAAGTGCCATTTAAATGAATTCTGTCAAGAAGTTAGACAATGAATATTAACACCACTGCATTGACACTTCCATATGCTTAAGTCAAATGTCAGATGACACTTTAGCTTGTAAACATCTGTGTATTAAACATGTACTCGATCCATTTTAACAGGGCAGCATTAAAAAGCATCTTAAGCTCACTAGACCAAACTTACTAGGTCAATTGCCATTAGTAATTGCTCTTAATGTGTGACAGCTAAAGAGATGCCAAATTGTAAGTCACCCTTAGCAAAGCTTGTACTTTGAAGGTTTTAGATATGCAAACTGAACAAGGGCTACAACTGTTAGAGTTCAACCAACTACATATTCTATGTGCTAACTTAAAGAGACATGCTTAATTTACAATACCCATTTCTACACATAGCTTTGACACACTGTGGCAGTTGAGGCCCAAGCAAGATTTTTAAGTTGTACCATTAAAAAAAGCTCACCTGAATAGTAACAACAGGCATGAACAAAGCTAAAAACTAGCTACAGAAGGCACTTGAAGTATTTTATTCTGCTTTTATTAAAGATTCTTCACTTTGTTCTGCTGAAGCAGACTCTGAAATAGCCTCTTCAGTTGTTGAAATGTTTTCTGCTTCTTTTTCAACTTCTTCAGCTAGCTTATCATTTAGATGCTCAGAACTTGGCGCTTTATCATCTGCCTCAACGAGCTGGGCCACATCTTCAGGTTCTGTGAAAAGAAAAATGACAAAATAGCCATTTCCAAAAATTGAGAGGCAGCTAATATTCTTAAAAAGCAAATTGAACATTCTGCTTTTGACTAGTAACTGCACAATGTCCTCAACCCATAAAAACTTTGATTTTTCTAAGATGGTCACAGGTAAAAAAATTAAAATTTAAGGAAAAAAAATACTATGGAAAAGAGCTTAGCTCCCACTAGGAAAATACTATGCATTACTTGCATATGTTCATCCTCAACAGAAGCTTTCTAAGCTTATTTACTAAAGTGAGATGTTAAAAACATATTATGGCAATTCCGTTTCCTTGTCTTTGGTAATGTCAATTTCACCAACTGTTTACTTTTTTTTTAATAAGGGTTCAACCTGTACACAAACTAAAACATTCTTCTTGATGGAAACTACTTTAATCATAAGAAGTCTGATAATCAGGGGGAAAAAACCCAAACAAATATATCAAACCAGCCAATGAAAATTATTACATATTCTGTCATCCCAGGGGTAGTGCAGGAAGATTGCACAGGAGTGAGTATACTTACTGCTTATCCAGGGTGGGACTATCTTTGATAACAAACATTTTTAAGATCCAAAAGATTTATTTCAAGAAATGCCTTCTAAAGAAGGCCTCTAAAGAAGTAAATTCTAGTTTCACAACAGGACTTCAGTAGCATATGAGAAGTCAGTCATATTTTGAAGAAAGCATAAGCACTGAAAAACTGAACGCAGAGTTGCATTAAATGACACACAGTTACTGTAGAATGGTATTGCTGATGGCAGTTGATTTATTGACTAGTATTACTCAATACTATACAGTACTAATGCATACTGTGAAGGGGAATAGCGTGCAAAATTGATGCAAAATTACAGCTCAAAAATATTAGCCTTATCAAATGTTTCTAACTTCATAGAGTGGTTTGTGTTAGAAGCGACCTTAAAGATCAATCTAATTCCAGCCTTCCCCTAGAGCAGGTTGCTCAAAGCCCCATCCAACTGGGCCTTGAAAACTTCCAGGAATGGAACAGCCACAATTTCTCTGGGCAGCCTGTTATAGTGTCTCATCCCTATTCACAGGGAAAAATTTCTTCCCAATACCTAATCTAAACCTACTCTGTCAGTTCCTATCCATTCTGCCTTGCCCTATCACTGTATGGCCTTGGATAATGTCCCTCCAGCTTTCTTGAGGCCCCTCTGGATCCTGGAAGGCACTCTATGGTTTCCCCAAAGCCTTCTGTTCTCCAGGCTGTACAGCTCCAACCCTCTCAGCCTGTCATCACAGAACAGGTGCTCCAGCCCTCTGACCCTGTTTGTGGCCCTCCTCCAGACTTGCTCCCAAAGGAGAATAGTGTGTCCTTCTTATGCCAGGGGCCTGTGGTGGTTTAACCCAGCCTGCAGCTGGGTTGCAGACCAGACACTTGCTTACTCCCCACCCTCCCTTCTGCCATCCTGGTAGGATGGGGAAGAGAATCACAATAAAAGTTAAACCCCTAGGTTAAAATTAGAACAGCCTAATAATTCAACATATTAAGATAGCAATGACTACAACAAAAATAATTGTATCTAAACAGCTAAGCAAGGTGGGGGAAGAAGAAAAAGAAAAAAAAAATTAAACATATCTGATGCCAAATATAGTGGCAGGACATGATTGGCTTTCTGGGCTGCAATCACACATTGCCAGGTCATGCTGAGATTCTTGCCAACCAATATGCTCACAGGCTTCTCCTCAGAGCTGCTCTCAATTCATTCTCTGCTCAGCGTGTCCTTGGGATTGCCTTGATCCAGATGCAGGACCTTAGACATTGCCTTGCTAAACTTCGTTGACAGTCCCACCTCTCAAGCCTCTCAAGGTCCTTCTGGATGCAATCCCTGCTCTGCACCACACAGCTCAGCATCATCAGCAAACCTGCTGAAAGTGTGCTCGAGCCCACTGTCCATGTTCCTTACAAAGATATCGAGCAGCAGTGGTCCCAATACCAACCTCTCAGGAAAAGTGTCTGTCAAATGCCACATGTTCATGTTGATCAAAACATGTTGGCTAAAAGTCTGAAAGTAATCAGACTGCTTCAGGCTGATAGAGAATTCAAGCAGAGCTGAAAGTTTTAGAACCATTGCTCTGGATTCTTGGGCCCATGACTGAGTAGAAGAGCTGCTGCACACCCCTGTCCAGCAGCCCTTGTACAAATGCCATCTGTCTTCAAGAACTTAAGACCTCTCTTTCCACACAAACCTACATGGCTAGTTCCAGGCTTCATTTCAGACTGCTCAGAGCAGCCCAGCTTCTCCATCTTTTTCTCAGACTTGATCTTTCATTTTAGCAAGTCTGCAGCTGACTCATCTGATTCTTTCCCTGCTCTCTCAACCACAGGCTGCTCAACACCTGCCCTGGCTTCTTGTTACAAAATTTTTCAACCCTCCTATTTCTGCCCAAGCAAATGAATGTCCCCAGTTACTTTCCAGACCATCCCACTCTCTCCTCCTGCTCCTTAATTTCCATCTTGATCCCATATCTGTCTGTGCTCAATCTTTATCTCCCAACTGTCAGTTTTCTTTCTGTCTCATCTCTGCATTTCTTCTTCAGCTTTGAATTCTATGAATAAGTTTGTGCATTTTCCTGCTCCAATCCCTCCACACTTGAGTTGCACTCCTTTATTGCCGGTCTTCAGGCTAGAGTCAAAGAAAGAGACTGTTTGCTCAGTCTGATCACAAAGATGCCAAGCATTTCTAACATCTTTGATGTAAAACCCAGGAATAATCACAGCCATCAGCAAAAGCTTCTAATGGAAAGGAGAAAACCTGAAGAAATGCATATTCTAACTATATTGAAAGGAACACAAAGGTGCTTTCATTTTTATATTCTACTAAAAGTTATGGAGACACTGCTTATTTAAACAAAGATTGTCAGGTATTTTATAACTTTTCCCTTCACGTGTTCTTGGGTAAACTAATTCAAACTCTTGAAACTCTTCAGAATATACAATAGTACAAATTAACATGGAAAATTTTGGTCTTGTAATTCAGTCTGAGAAAGTTACAAGAAACTAAAGAGTAGGTCCCTTAAATGAGTAGCCAACACATTCAGAGTAAGTGATGGTAACTCCAACCACAAACATGATCAGTCTTCATTAAAAATATATAGTGATTCCATTTTAAACACAGCAATTAATGGAAAGCTTGCCTAAAGTCAACCTGATTTAAATAGTATATGAATAAAGTCTTTGTAAGAGCAGAAGCCAACAAGTGAAAGCTCTGATTGTAAACTTAAAAAGATTACAAAAGAAAATATAATTGTCCTTGATCAGGAATACTTAATCCATCATTTAACCAAAGAATATAGCTTCATACACATAATCTTAAAAGCAAACACAGCCCTATGCTTGCTGCATGTTTAAGAGCTGCAACAATGCAACCTTAAAAAACCTGCCCCTGACTACAGCAGCTTTTCCTCCCAACACTCCTGCTTAATGCTTAGTACTTAGAAAGCATATGCAGTTAATAATTTTAAGAAGTCAGCCACCCTTCCTCTTGTAGCAGAGAGTATTTCACTGAGTAATCAGTGAAATCATAATAGTGCATCACTATTAAATTAAGTAGAAAATGTCTATTAAGTGGGAATTCATAAAAACAGTGTAATTGCTCTACAATAAAGCTGCTCGTGGTTTCAAGCAGCTTTGGGACAAGTTGTCTTTACTACTACAATTCCCCTTTAAGATAGATTTTTACATAGTCCCACATGTCTGAACTGCCTTTAAAGAACATGTGTCTCACAGTAACCTGTTAATGGCCTTGGTGTCAGAGAAAGCTATTGTGAACCCTTTGAAACAAGTCAGATAATGGCACAGCATTCTCTCTACCCTTTGTGTCCTACCAAAAAGGCAGGTTGACTGTGAACTATGATTGAGTGGAAACATGTTTTTTTAATCAAAAGAATTTGTTTACAAATTATTAGAGTCAAGGTGAGCTGACCTATGTCTGCTTGAGAAATCGAGTTATAGATATATTAGTCCTTTGTCTTCCATCAGTTTTATTCCTAAAAAAGATTTCTGCAACACTTGCCCAAAGCCAAGCTCCATTTGTGGTAGAACTCATGATGAGCACACACTTGAAATGCCATTATTCCTGGCAGAGATCATTACTGTGATCCCTCCAGCTGAACAAGCCAAGTTTCTGCACCTGCCTTTATAATGGAAACCCTTTCAAATGTACTAGCAGTTGCTGTATCCCAAGAATCTTTACAAGTGACAGTATTAACTAATCATAAAAATATTTTAGCAAGATGGTCAAGGAATTCCATACAAATCTAGAGACATCACATAAAGTAGTCCATGAAGTGCTGACCACTGTGGTGAAGTCTGAAGTTCAAATCAGATGAAGTTCAAATCTTCATCTAATGAAGACCTCTAAATATCAGGACCAGACATTCAACACAGAAGACTGATGCAGTCGATTTTTTTTTCAATTTTGTTTCAAAATATTGTGAAATGCTAAACCTGAATCAACAATACAGCATAACAGTACTAAATCAAGGCAAAGCAAAATTAATCAAAGCTAAAAGTGCTTCCTGTTGGCTCTTTCAGTATGATCCAAGCATTTATACATTTAGGATAAGTACATAAGAGAACCAACTAGCCTTTGATAGGAGGAGAAGATCAAAATCAAGCCATTTATGGGAAAGGTAAGAAAAGAGCTGAAGTTTATTGTTTCACTCTAGTACTAAAATTTCCTACATTGATCTGCTGAATAAGGAAGCATGATGTTTGCGCCAGTAATCTGCACCAGATTGACAGCTGATGACTCAATTCTCCAGAGGTTTAAAACAAAATTCTCAAGTTCAGTGTCAATGGCACTCTCCCATAAACATTCTTCAGATCTCTTATCCACAGGAGATGCATGTAACATGCTTGTCACTACATGAGCACACAACTGAAAAAAAGATTCAGCTTCATGCTCCACCCATTAGCTAAAGTAGCTGACTGGTAAAAAATATTTATAGCATTTCTTTATCACATTACTTTGCTATTTCCTTGAGCTATACAGCTATGGTATAAATGAATTACAGATAAGAGTTGTACTCCCCTGTGTTGCCAGCGTTGTGGTGAAGTTGGTTTCCTGATGTTAATGTTTGTCTACATCTGTAAGTGAAGATATATTCTCTATTCTTGCTATGACAGCAGCTATTTTGCTGTGGTGAACAAAAGCCTTCCCTAGAGCTCTACCTTAATGATAGCTTCATACCTTAAAACTTACAATCAAAGAATGTGTTCATTTATTAATAAAACCTAACTGCATGTTATCAGCTATGTTTCATATTACAGTTCCAGTGGAAGAAGTGATTTAGTGAAAATATTCTAATTCAGAAGAGATTCCTTTGTGGCAAGTCACAGGAAGGCACTGGCCTCCTCTAAATCAACAAGACACTTCTCACAGCTATGTAAAATACTAATATACAACTTTATTTCTGGCTGCTTAGTAGTTATCAAAACAGAATGGTTTGTATCATCTTCAAGAATAAATATTCAGAAAAGATCTGCTATTTAACATTAGAAACCAAAAGTCTGTATACCACTTACTTATTTCTTATGCTTCTTGTGCAAAATCTTACAATATACTTCCTATCAGGAAAAGACAACTGGACAATGAAGCCCACTGTTGTTTCTTTTCCTGATGTTTTTAAGCAGCACATTAATACAAGACCACATAAGAAAAAGAAACCAAGTAATTTTTTTTGTTAAAGGTAAATTGGTAAAATCATTTTCTGCAAGAAATCCATCCTATTTTTCTGCTGAAATGTTTGATAAATTTCTGCTTCCACAAAAAGCAACTTAGCTCACAGTTTTGATTCCTACATCTGAAACGCTTAATGGCAATCCCACAGTGATTCTTCAGATTTTACATTTTTGACAACATCTACAGACTGATTCAGCAGCTCAGACCCATTACAGGCATAGTTTCATAACTATTTCTTTCAATGATATTAACAGATTGATTAGCAAGCAGATCTCCTTAGCTCTCTCTAAAAACCTGCTGTAACAGATAATACTCAAAAACCCGTGAGGCACATGCCTTCAAGAGTTGAGTATCCCTCTTGAAGGACCTCTCCACTACTTGAGTCAGAAGAAAACAAGCACACTTTTAAAGATCCCAGTAACAAAGTGTGCCTTTTTCTGTAAGAATCTTCTACGTTCAGAAGTCCAAGAAGTTACTAATCTACCCTCCCCTTGCTAAAAAAAAAATGACACTGTGATTTAAGGGCAAATGAGATATTTTCAATGTCTCCATTTCATCCACTTGATTTCAGTCTTACTTTCATTCCAATAACAGCACTGTTACTGAGGTAAGAATGCACTGTGGTAGGAAAAGAAACCAAGTTTTCACTACAGTGCACTCTCATGAGACCATGTCCAGAGACTGCCACCATTAAATAGGACTTCCCGACTGGTTTTGTGCAGCCTTCTCATGCCAGAAAATAACACCAAATGTTACTTTGTATTCTCTGTTAAATAATCAAGCAGAAGCACTCTATTACACTCTGACAGTTTCCCACATTGGTGTGTTTCTAGCCTGAACCTCAGAGTTGCACACTATCTGATAGTTTTCTTCCAGGATCCCTGCTTAAACCAACAAAGTGCCATCAAGCACTTAACAGCACATCTAACTGGAGATCCTCTGGTCTGAAATTATGATTTCTGGAGTCTTTTAAAACACTGCATCTTCCTGTTGGCTGTACACCAGATGCCTACTGTATCTGTAGACTATAAAACGTCTCAAAAGGAACTATGTTAAATTAAAATTGACAATTTGTCTTTGAACTACCTGAAATTAAACAAGGCAGTTTTACTAGATTTTCCTGCCCTGAGGAAAAGAGCAAAAGGAACAAAGGCAGAAATTCCAACACACCTCAATCAAATGACCTGCCAAACACAGTGAAAGTTAACTACTTTGGGACATACTCCCTCCTTAACTATTTCTGTAATCTACAGTGCTTTTTTCTATCCCTTTGTCAGTAACACTAGAGTGAGATAATCTGTTATGCCATCATCTGCACAAGATAATGACAAATAGAAGAAATGTTAGGGTACAGGTACACTACTATCAACAACCTAAGTTAGGAGCAGAGAAAAGAACTGAAAAATATAAACTGCACTTCTATGAAGTCAGAATAAACAATACTATTTCAATTGGAATGGACCAACAACAATCACCTAGATCAACTGCCTACCCAACTGGGGGTTGATCAAAAGCTAAAGCATGTTAAGGGCATTGACTAAATGTAACACTGTCAGACTTCAGTCATTGATCAACTCACCAGGAACCCTGTTGGAGCACTGTTTAAGTACTTCAGCTGTTGTCATTCTTACGAGAAAACTTGGCTCAACAGAGAGCTAGATGACAGTGAATTGCATTAGACATTTGAAAAAGAGCAGACTTCATGAGAATAGCACTTACCTTTTGTCTGCTGAGTCTCCTGGGGCTCTCTCTCTCTAGGTTCTAGAGGCTCAGTTTCAGACCGCAATTCTGTAGTTTGTTTTTTTTCAAAACTGAAGTCTGGAAGTCGTGGAGCTTGAGGTCTAGTTTTTCTTGCAGGATTCAGGAAGAAGCAGTAGGCACATCTAAATGCTACACCACAAAGCACACCCAGTAAGCAGCCTCACTAATTAACTTCACATTTCACCTTTATTCCTACACTATATTCTGATGGTCCAAAATACTAAAACCAGAGTTAACTAAGTGACTATCAGTACCAGACAACATCTCCACCAAATTTACATAAGTTGTTCTATATAAGTTTTTTTAAATTCAGCAGACATTTGCTGAAACAATTGCTTACAAACCTGATTACTTTCAGCTCTGCTGAACTGAGTATTGCACAACACTGTGAAAGATTTTACCACAATGAACAAAATAATGAAATTCAGTAGCACCAGGTGTTGCCACATGGTGTTGTTCTATTCTTTCCTATAAAAGAATTAAGTTGTCAGATTATTTTTTTTCTCCTACCCTTGAGACACCGCTTTCCTCACACTCTGATGTTAGGAAGTGTTAGGAGATGTTAAGAATTCCAGAAGGCATGTCTCTGCTTTCTGAGGAGCATTCTGCTCTACTGGTGCTTAATTAAGAAAAAGCAGTTTTGTTTTTCAGAAGCACTGGATACCATTTAATACTTTAAATAACACTTTTTGTCCTCCTCACTCTCACCAAGACAAGGGGGGAGGTGGCAGTTTCTGGTACAGTTGAGTTGTGAACTCCTGAGAACTAAGATATAGACTACTTTGGTTTCATAGGAAACATTTCACTTATTCTTACAATGCAGTATATTTACTCATAAAAATAAACAAAACAAAATTAAATAGAATATTTATCTAGGAATCCCTAGTTTCTTAAGCATCAGGCTTACACTTGTGGTAGAAAGCAGGCAATATACAACATCTGTGTTCAATAAAGAGCTGTGTCTGTCTTAAGTTATTGTCAGCCATAAATTGACATATAGGCCCCTAGGGCTTGTTCCCACTCTTTTTTCAATGCGTCCCCAAGATCTTCCTGCCGAAGGAAAATTTAGTTTAAGTTCTGGTAAAAGAGGCACACTTTCATGTCAGATAGTTTCTCAACATAAAATCCTTCTGAGAACCATTCATAGCCAGTAGCAATGTTCAGGGATGCATTGGAGGAAGCTTATTTCTACTGAATAGTTTTCTACACATAAAATCCATGACCTGAAGGTTGCAATAACGTACTTCTCTAAGTCTTGAAGTAAATCTTAAAAAACAGAGTAATAAGTTACCAAAAAATGTCCCTACATGGAGTGGCACTTCACAATGTCAGCTAAGTACTCAGCTGCAACCAAAATGAAGTATGCTGCATGTTTGTTATGAAACATTAGCCAAGTAACAGAGTCTAAAAAAGATTAGCTCTTACCTATGTATTCAAACTCCTCCTTCAAAGCCATACCATTATGAGAAAAACATTGCTGACATATAAGGGCATACCTAGAAAACATTAATAATATATAGCAACATATCCTTAAGTAATAACACACTGGAGGGAGAAGCATTTTACCTTACATACTGACCAATAACTTAAACCTTTTCTTCCAAAAGGTGATTTCTACAATGAAATTATTAACCTTGAAAGCAAACTATATTTGTAGATTAAATAGTACTTTTTGAAGTTGGTTTAACCACAGTGAAATAGTCTCAGCTACACTTTAAACTATGGTTCAATATATTTTTAATATCATCAGTGTCAGAAAATAACATCCAAATTAAGCTTTTATTTCGTTAGAATACAGTTAATATGAAAAGTAACCATAGTAAATATGTTCAGTTCTGATAAGTTTGGACAGTTCTGAAGGCAATCTGAAAGACATTTATAACAGATATAAAGCTAAAGTGCTGAGGCAAATGCTTTCTTTTTTTTAGTTCAAAATATAAGTCATTCACCCACTTGAACACAGATCTTTCTTTGTATCACACAGCTAATATTACTCAGAACAGAGGTTAGGTTTGCTTAAATATTTCCCTGCAAAGATCTTTCAAGTGAAGCATTGAGAAAGAACCATTTCTCAATTATGAAAATTATGGGACAAGTTCATTTATAATTCTTTTAAACTTGATATGGCTTAAACAAAAAGGTTAAGAAGCTTGCTTTCCCCTAAGTGTTTAGATATTTTTTAAAGAACATTTTACCTGTTCTGAGGACCATCACCAACCAAATACTCAATAACTCTATCCACAACTCCTCTTTCTCGAGGAAGAACAGGTCTTGCCAAAGGAGGGCCTGGAGGATGAAGACCTAGAACATGGATTATATCAAAAATTATTTTCCATTGTATAAAAATGTATTATATTTTATTGCATGTGCTAGTGTAACAAAACAATTGCAGCTATTTAATACACATGGGCATAATTTTTAGTCCACCAGGAAAGCTGCAAGATTCTTCAATCCACAATAGTTGAAAATTCTTCTGCTCGTTTAGCTTATAATTTTATTAAATCACTCAATTTTTACACTTTGGACATGTAATTAAACTATTTAATTTCTAAAGAAGTTAACATACCAATAGTATTTGATGGTTAACAAATAGAGGCTTTTTAAGAAAGAACAACTTAACTAAGTTCTCCTCATATACACTCAGCTCTGCAAATTTACTCTTGTAGTTTACACCAACAAATCTGCCAAAATCAATGGCAACAGTAGAAGAACTAGATATCAGGGCAACCCAGTCTGCTGGAAGGTGTCCTGTCCATGGCATGGAGGTTTCAAAGAAATTATCTTTAAAATCCCTTAAAATCCAAACCATTCTATGATTTTATGAAGATGTCACCACAGAACACCCCCTGATTTCTGTGTAATTACTATACCACATGAGCATACCCTCAGTGTACATTGAGTCTACACATTAAACCTGTCCAGCTGTTTGTCATTTTGGTAATCCCACAGTTAATGACTAGTTGGATGCTTTCAGCTTTATGCTTAATCCAAGAAGCCAGAAGGCCACTATAAAGACACTATTTCACTCTTGTATTTAACAAACCACTATCAGAATTAAACTCCTTTAAGAGCAATGGTTGGTTCTTTTTCACCTCTATATTTAAACCAGAACACTGACACAAGTTTCTCTTTCCATAAAGTTTAAAAAGTCTAGTCCATTGTACAAGACTACTGCAAACTGCCAGTTTCCATTTATATTGCTTTGAGTTCTTATGTCTACTTTCTCTTGCAGCCTTAAAACAGAATACACTAGGGCTAACATAAGAAACTCCAGTTTGATTCATTCCAACGAGACCATTTGAGTAACTAAGCGTGGAGAGGAAACATTTTACATTTAAGCACCAGAAGTATTATGTTACAGTACTTCCAACAAACAGTCCTGAGTGTAAGATAATGCAGGAAGAAAGGGGAACATTTAATTGGGGAAGAGATGGGGACACTTAAAACCTATTCCCATAATACCTTTATGAATTACATTTAAAGTCCACAAAACTAACTAGACAATGTTTGAGTAAGACAATGAACCAGTCTTTCAGAACTCTCCAGCTGGGACAAAACAGTTCAGTTTCAAGTCACTCCAAGACAAAATTGTGACACCTTACAAATAAGACTTGGTTTAAACCATTGACAAAATTACTTTTAAAAATGCAAAATTCCTATGCAGGCTCAATATAGCTAAGATGGTTAGACAAAAAAAAAATCAGTGAGTATTAGCAGATTTCATAGTGACATGAGCACATGGCAACCTGAAGTCCTGTATGAACTAAGTATATGCAATTCATGGAAATGAAATACTGAAAGTGCAAAAAGAGAGCAATGTTTTTTTCTGAGAAGAGTTCTGGCTTGTAACTATTCTCACTCCATACAGTAAAAACAGATACAGAAACAGCATGGCTTAAAAGAAAGCCTTTAGTGACTACAGAAGTAAGCCAACAATTCTCTTTTCAAATTGCTGTATGTTTCCAGCATTCTTCTTGATGCATGTTTCACAGAATCCCCCATAATGACCAATAAATAAAAGGAAGCTAAAGGGTAACACAAACTAAAATAACTGTCTCAATATACAAAAGTAAAACAGATTAGACACATTGTCTAAAAATGCAAAATAGGATTTTTTTTTAATCCAAAGGACAACTAATAGAGTATAGTTTGTTAGTATGTTGAATTAATTCAGAAGGACATTTAATTGAAAGATATTGTGTTTAAAAAAGCAGCCTTCAAGCTTTTCAGGATTGTTTAGATTTAGTTTTCTTATAGCAACTTAGCATGAGGACATGCACAGTCATAGCTTCTAGCACCTTGATAAACATAGACATGTTTTGCATGTAACATGCACCTCCTAAGCAGAGTATTCACAAAATATGCTGAGTTGGAAGGGACCCATCTGAATCCCTGAGTCCAGCTCCTGGCCCAAAAATCACACCATGTACCCGAGAGCCCAGGCCAAATGCTTCTCAAACTCATGTCAGGCTTGGTGGTGTGACCACTTCCATGGGGAGCCCATGCCAGTGCTCTGGGTGAAAAACCTTTCCCTGATAACCAACCTAAACCTCCCCAACTCAGCTTTGTGCCATTTCTTTGGGCCACCAGAGTGAAGAGATCAGTGCCTGCCCCCCTGCTTCCCCTCATGAGGATGCTGAAGACCACAGTGAAGTCTCTCCTCTTCTTCAGGCTGAATGAATCAAGTATCTCAGCTACCCCTTGTAAATCTTCAGCTCCAGACCAGGGTAAAGACAACACAGCAAGTCTTGCTATTCAATAACCTGTTCCAAAATGGGCTTCATGTTTAAGTATAGCACTAAAAGTAACTGCCAGCAAATTATCATTTCAAGCTTCCTACCTTTAAATCTTCACAAACAGAAGAAACAAAGCAAAAGGTAACTAAGGGCAGATTGTAATACTTTGTGGTAAACCTCATGCTCAATGCCACATATTGTAGGAATCAAATATTTTCAGCAATGCCCTCTTGTAGTGCTACACATAGAACAAGACTAATCTTGACATTAAGGCTGTACTAATTCTAACAGCACATCTTTCAAGACACATCTTGTCAATATTGGATATTTGACCTAAACAGACTGTCTTAATTTCTAGCAGCACAAGAAAACTCATTCAGAAAACACTGCAATTTACAATCCATCAATTAAGTATAAAAAAATTCCATACTCAATACACATGTTTTTTAAAATAGATCTTATTTTCACAAACAAGAGAAATTAATTCAGGAGATAAGAATCAGTGAATGGATTTCCAAGTTATCCCTGTATTCTGTCCACAAGTAGGAACCTAGATCAAGAAAACCATTGCAGCAGCAAGAGAGAACAAACTCGGTGCAATATAAACTGTATTCTGCTATTGCTGTCCAAAGCAGAGGCCAGGCAAAATTAATTTCCTGAGTTTTACAGAAACCTGAAAGATCCAATACTTCCATCAGAAAAAGGCACTGATACATTCTGCAATAAAATTAAATCCCTAGAATAATTTTTTGAATACCTGGTTTACACTCAAATGTTTACTTAGACCTTTATTCAGAAGACCAAGTTTTCATATGACTTGTAAATCACCAATATAAGAAGTTTCTAAAAGTCAATAAACAAAGTAAAAATTGAATAAAGTTACCTAGAATGAAGCATCAGAATATATTCCAACAACAACTTCAATTACCTGCCTACTAATAACTCAAACCAACCATCTTAGTTCTCATGCTGTTATGGACACCAGTAATTAATATAAACATCAAAAGCAATCATTGTAGAAAGACTGGTCATTTTTGCAAAGCTTGGCAAACTCTCAACTACCTGCTGATTATTAATTTTCAAACATATGGAAGCTCTGTGGTGATACACGTTAAATTGATTCTCCCCTACGAAATATAGTACCACAAAAATGAATTATTAATCTTCTGTAAAATAAAGATAATTAAGGCTATTCATATTTGTTGCAGGCCATGCATAAACTTAGATGCCATATTATTCTTACAGATACTGAGTTTCTGAACTTTTCACTACAGCTACATGACTGAGATTTTTATATGCCTGGAAAGTTAGGGAAAATTCAAGAAAAAAGAGGGTTTCCATATTAACTGACAATTGCAGTGGCTCCCATTGTTTTCTATGGCAAAGTAATGTGTTAGGTCAAAATTCCAGTTATTTAGTGAAGGGAAAAGTGCCTGTAAGGCATTATCACAAAAACTACATTAAAAATTTTATATCACAAGCTTGGCAACTGTCCTTTCAAACAAGTCAGTTACTTTATTTTCCTCCTTCCTCTAAAACATTTATGCAGTAAAGGCTGAATTTCATCCAGCTTATTTAACGTGCCTGAATCTTCCCCTAAAAATAAAGCTATTATACAGCTAATACTTTATTCCACAGTCAGCTTCCTTAAAAAGAAGCATGAAATTTTAAACCTAGTATGGAGTTTTTGGTAATCAGATATCAGGAAATGTGGTTTGCAACCAAATGACCAATTTCCTGGTGCAAGGAGCTAATTTCTGGTACTTTGAGATAATCAAGACTTACTAATAACTTGTCTTTACAGTTCACTTCAGGGATAAAAACAAATTTAGCAGTTTCATAACACAAGTAAAGCACTACTAACATCAAATAAGGCTTAATGGAATCTAAAGAGAAGGGATATCACCATTTTCCATGACAAGTTTATTCCACTACACTAAACAACAGGAAAAGGCATTTTAACATTAGGTTTCCCCAAGAGCTTAGAGAGCAGGCATCAATATATAATCTACAGCTCTACTTTTTGATTGTATCATGGAAGTCAGTAAAGAAGGACATACAGTTGGTAAAACTCAAGCAGCTTCAAGTAAAAATCAGAAACACAGGGCAGATAAAAATATTCTTGATCCCTGCACATAGAGCAAAGAACTACTCCACATTAAAGTGGTGCTCATGAGATCCTTGGCAAGTTGTGCCCCTTCTATATTCAAGACAGCATTTCATCTCCTTTCTTGCCTTGTGATCCAACTTGTCAAACATCCCACAAAGAATAAAAGGACCGGCACAAACCCACACACAGCTTTACCACCCACAAGGAACATGAGAACGGTGCTGCCCACCCAAAATGCTCAAATTTTGCAATCTTTCCAATGCAATTTAGTTCATATTCTATTTATTAAAAGTCCATCCCATCTAAACACCAAATAAGAAATCAAGGGAAAAACACTTTCAGAATATGAAACCAAATTTTAAGAACTACTCATTCATACCAGATTTCAACCCGTTGCTAGTCTCTGGACTCTTGTAGCAAAACAACAATTCCATTATAGTATTCAGCTACAACACAGACAACTTCTCTGCTGTATTTGGTATTCCACACTTTAATCTGTGAGTATAGGCTGCATGACTATACCTTCTAGAGTAAAAATTTAAATGTCAAGATCTATGTTAAAAAAATATGTGCAGGGTTTAGTGAGAAGCATGAATGTATTCTGAAAGTGTTCTCCTCTGCACCTGATTTATACAAGCAAAGAGCTCTTCTAAACTAAGAACATAAAAAGGTATGCTATATTGTTGACTACAGAATACTGCAAAGTTTTATTGCCATTTAAACAAAGAAGCCATAACAGTTAAATGAGCTCATGCAATAGGTTTCAGCATCAAAAGGTGCCAGCTGTAAAGAGTTATGGCTAATTGAATATGGAACTCCTGCTTAATCAGATAACTGCTCTGCTATTTCCAAATGAAATGCCATTTCCATACTGTCTGAAAATGGCCTCTTTTATTGGTAACCAGAGAAAACAATATAAACTGTAAATAACATTAAGTGCTGTGTTTACCCATTCCAGGCACTGAAGTAGCAGGGGATCCAGGGCGCCTTGGTAAAACATTGGACGGCAAGGATGGCGCAGCAGTTCTCTCCGGGAGCCCGCTCGGAGCTGGGCTGTCTCTCTGCAGATTAGGAGCTGCTGGAAGAGGGAGCTTCGGAGAGCCTTGTTTAGGAGTCACAGGTGGGGGTGTAGAAGCATTTCTTTGAGCTGCAGTCCTCTGACGAATTTCTAACAAGAATATGTACATACTGAATTTAATATTTAGCATGAGCAAGATATTACTGAAAGTGTGTTAATATTGTTACACCAATTAGCAAATTACAGAATCAAACAAAACCAGGAAGGTCTAAAACTAAACATCATCTGAGCATGTCATAGAAGTAAATACCAGATAGAATACTGTATTTCAATTGTCATAACTGTTAAATACTTTGGGCAAAATTCTTCTAGAAGGAAATTAGAGAGCAGAATCATAGTATCTGCTAAGGCAGAACACTGGACACACAAACATCTAGAATCGAACAACAATGTATAGAATTGACCACTTTTTACTCCATGGTTTAAAAATGCTTCCAAGTATTTAGCTTTCCATGGGACCAAAACCATTCAGTATCCACTATGTCCAGGTTAGGTGCCCAAAGTTAGGAAAAAAACAAAATCAGATTGGATAAATGAAACTATTCTAAAACCAGAAGAAAAGGAAATGTTTCATTCAGGTGATAGTTTCACTTGCTTGTTTCAGTATCCCCATCGTCAAACCACCTGCATGGATTCTCACAAAGCAAGAATGGGCTCTGCCAGAACACATGCCCACTTTCACCTCTTCTCACACCACTATCAGTTACTATTAAATCACAGTTATGAAAAATATTTCCTCAGTTATTCTTACATGAAGCCAAATATCACGAGAGTAATCTACCACGGTTTGAATGTTGTGACAGTCATGCAAGCCTGACATTCACATACTATTGCAACAAATCAAACAGAAATGTAACCATTGCTTTAGGTCTGCAGATATTTACATGATTAACAAGTAGCAGGTTAGTCTCTACAGGGACACCCCAGTACACACCTAAAGCTGTAATACCCTACAGAGTTAGTTTATAATACCATGTCACTTTGAGCCACCTTGCATGTCTTCCTTCACAACAAATGGAATTTAACACTACATTTGGACTTTAAAATCACTTCCACAAGTTTCAAGATTAGAGAGATTTTATCTGCTGACCTTGTGTCAAGCTGGAAGAGTTTAATGCTTAGCAGGCAGTTTACAGGACCACTGGCAACCAGCCCTGGAAAATGGGTGTGCTGAGTGTGAAGGAACAATCCCTGTCCCCTAAAGTACAACACTAAAATGCTAAGCTCCTGCTGTGGATGGAGGAGGTGAGCATGCTACTTCAGCTGGCACCAGCTGAGAAAGAGCTGCTATCACTGAAGCACCAGGTCAAATGTAACAGTTCTGTGGGAATACAGCCAATCTAGTGCCATGAAAATTGCTACATACATAGGTTATGGTCTTGCCTACTTATCTCTACATATAAATAGGATTAATACACAAGAGTAGAAAGAATTAAAAATTCTTTGGAATCACTGCTTTAAAAACTACAAGTTTAAAAACTACAGTCTTAATAAAAATACATCTAGTTAAGTTTCCTACAAAGCAGAATAAATCACTAGTTTTCCCCTGCCACATCATGTGCATGGCTGCATTACTTCACACAACTTCATCGTCCAAATTACATCAATGAGTCTGAAAGTTCTGTATTTTAATTTGATTTTAACAAGTATGTTTGCCCCCTCACTATTTCAGCTGTTCAGAATCTGGAAACCAGGATTAATTGGTGAGGTAGTTGCAGAGATTGCATCAGCATTTCCTTGGTGACTTGCTTCTCGTTTGAAAACTGCTCCTGTGTTGAGAGTTTTATCTGAAGTAAGAATTCATCTATGATAAACCTCCCCATTCACATGTCTTCAAGATTTTTTTGTGAGAGACATAAGCAGTAACCTTTCAAGTTTTACTGCACTAGGATGACTGCATTCTCTGTGCCATCTGACCAACAGGCATGGCCCATCTCCAAATACAAAATACTGATTAAAACCTATGATTTACAGTTAAGTTTGTGTTATAGTTTCCAGTCCTATGTTAGTTTCAAAAATTAAGCTAAAAGGTAGGCAATTTCTCAAGTCTTCTCAGGTCCACATATGCACAAAAAAAAGAGTGATAAATATAAAGCCTAATTCCACCTGTTCCAAGATCATTTTAAACATCTGTAAAGATATCTTAATCCATTATTTTTTCATTACAAAACCCTCTTTATTATTGTTGTATATAAAAAATGCCCAAGACCATTACTGTACTACATATGGATGTTACTTTTACATTTTGAAGGCTGTCTTTCTAGATCATGTGGTTTAAGCATATTAATTTTAATTGTTTAAGAGCACTGAGTCTGTCTCAATAGGTCATGGCTATATTCACATTTATTCTGAGCCCATAATACACTATTTATAAGCAATTTCCAAGCCACCTGCAAGAGCTCTGCCCCTCTTGCCCATTCCTTCTGAAGGGTCATTTTTGGCAAGTCTTCTTTAAACGACTTTCAATTACAAAGATACTGCCACTTTAATGACTCTTTCCCCATATTTCTGTTCCTATAAAGATGCTGAACCAGTACTTTACAGTAAGTATTAGAGAGATATGCTTCAGTAGTTTCAGTTTCATTACAGAGTTAAGAATGCAAGACTCATTGCTAGTTTCCACAAAATAGTGGGTTATTTACAATGCCTTTTCCCCCCCCTTCACTTAGAAGTTCACTTGACTTGCACTCTATTCTGTGATTCATACTTAAGAGAACTTGCCAACATACTGCTGCTCCCCAAGTAAGAGAAGTCACCAGAATCTGCATTATGAGAAAGTGAGAAATGCTCTCCTTGGCACAACCAGCCCATCCATTCCAGTACCTCCTTTCATAGGGTGGCTGCAGATGTTATTCAGTGACAACACACAAATATGAATTTCTGAGGCTTTCATTCCTGATACAATCCCCAAGATCCATAAATGTATTGTCATGGACATGGAGAGTGCAGCCCTGTCTCATCATTTTAGTATCACATAGAGGCCCTTTACCCATGAACTCCCCTAATTCCTGCTCTGTCCTTCCACAATAACAGCCCTAATATTCTTCTGAAGTAACTGAATATGATCTATATACTTCTCAAACTACCTCAAGATGCAACATGTTAAAAATTTGCCTTTTGCAAAGTTCCAGATTTCCATAATTCCAAGTTGCACAACTTAGCCAAAGGAACATGTCCATTGACCTCAACACTAACACAAGTTACAGCTACTGCTAATGTAGTTTTAATGAAGTTTTTACGTTTTCCAAGGATTTTCTTCAGTAATGATATTTGTGTATCCAAAAGTCAATGGCACGAAAACAGAAAAATAGCTTAAAAATGGAACTTTTATTCTCCAAACACACTGCAGTTCAAATTCTGCAGTTACCAGCATTGGACACTTCAGACATAAGCAGACACATTACTTAAGAGCTATCTACTCAACTGATGATTCAGTATGAGCTCTTAAAGACTATTACACTACTGCAGTGGTGAAGCAGTGACATGTTTCATGTTTACAAGCATAACTATTTTATTTTTTTCCTCACTCAAAACACCTTGATTTTTGCAAAGAATAATACCTTATTTTCATAGAGCTATATTACAGGTCAATATACAGTTTATGTAACTTGTTGGCTTTAGCACCCAAGACCAACCAAGCATTTTCTTCCTTCCTCTTCATGCCTATATCCATCCCACAGCCTGCAACCATCTTTTATTGCATTACTTTTTTGTTCAGGTCACAGTGTGATCTCATTTACAATACAGCCCTGCTAACAGTCATATTTGCAAAATTGAAAGAGCAGGTACCAACAACAGGATATTGCTGATAAATATTTCACTGCAAATATATTCTTACACTATTTTTCCTCCATGGCCAAAGTACTAAAGTATATATTCATTAACTATACCCCCTAAAAAACATTTCTGAACATATAAAATTGCACTTAAATTTTCAAATTCCTTTCCTTCTGGATTTTGTGATGTTTTTTATGCAAAATACAAGATCGATCTAAATGATCTGTTAAAACTACCATTATTTATTTCAGCAGTACATGTCAAAATCACAAAAATTGTGAGAAGAGCTAAACACACAGGAAAATTGGGCTGCTACCAGTTGTTTTTCCAAGAACCAACTATTACGCAATACTGATTAAACCTTTGTACCAATTAGTATGATGTGCAAACGCTCATCTCAACCAGTAAGGAAAAATCATACAAACTAACTAACTGCCTCATACACAACATTGTCCAACTTGATTATATATATTGGTTATTGTTTATCACCTTTTCAAAAAGACTCAGTTACAGAGCTCAAGAAAATGAGTTCTGTTGCTTGGCTAGCTTACGTCCAAAGTGAGTAAAGAGAAGGTCAGGGAAGCTTTAATGTTAACTTGCTAAAAGCTATTTTATTATTCTAAACCACTCTAATTCTATCACATACTACATGCACCAAATTATACCACAACCACATAAAGGTGTCATCTAGTTACAGTAAGTTATATACTGCACAGAACAGAAGCTGATATTAATTTTGGGCAGATATTTAGTGTAAACAGCAATAACCTAGTAGGTTTTTTGATAGCTAAGAATTGAAAAAATTACTGCATATAACAAGTATTATTTAGTAAGTATTTGGAAATTAAGTCTCCATAATTTCACAAGTCAAAGGCAAGCATAGCTTGTCTCTCTTGAACTATAACACACCTCCAAAATAGAATAGTCTGACTAACCACTTACACAGGGCAAAAAGCTGCACCAATTCCAAATTCAATGTGTTAGAAGACAGATCGGAAAAAAAACCTAAATTGTGCTGTATATGAGCAAAGTTACATTGACTCATAGAATCATTTAGGATGGAAAAGACCCTTAAGATCATAAAATCCAACCATAAGCCATGACAATTTACAACATTTATTTGCCAAAATTCTTTCCAAAGCTAAACTACACTTTTATTCAGGATCAAGCAAGAATGCCCATGCACCTCAAAAAGTTGAATGTTTGAAAGACAATTGCATATTTTCTCAGTGGCATCCCCACTTAGAGGTTATTGGTTCACACCATGACAGTCTCAGAAAGCATTCTTTGCAAATGAAACTGCACTAAAAGATTCCTTCCACCAAGCCATGAGACCAATTTACAGCTAGCTCTAAATAAAAACTTCAAAGCACAGATAGCATGGGTAAACTCCTCAGCAACAACTGTTTCACATATCTATTCATACCACACTTATTAACGTAGACCACAGCCTACAGTGACTGTCTCTCAGAAATAATTCTAACTCTCTCAGAACCTCTCCCTCCCAGCCCTTACAACAGTCAAGACACAATCAACACAACACAGCATATGTGGGATCCAACTGATCTGCTTTTGTCTGACTGGATCAAAAGCAGGGGCACTACGCTTTGGGAACCCAAACAAACACAAGACTAATTAATAGACACTAACCGACTCACTTCTCATCACTGCTCCTTACACAACCTGGGTAGAGGGGAAGAGATCAGTCATGTACCCCCTAAGGAGTTTCAAAACTAGTGCTGTTCTCTCTTCATAAAGCCAGAATGACTAAAAACTTATCACTGTCTAATTTATAGATAATTCTCTGCAGATTTCTATATAGAAACACACATTTCCAGGCAGTTTCATCCCCTGGTCAATGTTACTTGCATTCTGCAAACAGATCTGTCACCCTGCTACTGGAGTAATTTCTAGCACAGCTCAAGAAGGATGAATTTTATACAGAGTTTAAAAAGAGCCAAAGACACTACCTACACATTACGGGTATAGCAGAAAATTCTTGGCAACCACCCACGAGCTGTATATTAAGGCAGAGAAAATAACAGGGTGTCAGAATGGCCCTTCATTCTGAACAAAACTATGAATGCTGTAGAAATGGAGTATGGGAAAGACAGGTAAGGAGCAAGCTTGAAAAAAAGCTGTTGTGTCTAGGACAACAGAGGAGGTACTACTGAGGTACTGCACTCAACTATTGACTGTCAATGTCAACTAGTAAGGACAGTTTTAAAATATTTTCATGGCGATTTGAAGCTAAGCAAGAAGATTTGATGATGCAGCTTATAAACATCTTTGCTAGTAAATCCAGGTGCTCTGCACTGAACAAAAGGAGTACTCCAAGAGCAAAAAATAGGAAAAATAGACATTTGGTTACCCACAAGAGTTAAATACAAAGTTGACAATTCTAATACTAAATTCTAAAGCAATCTGTATTTTATGAAAAACCCTGCATATCAGATTCTGCAGTTGTTTTTGAGCATCAGCCCTTTCAGGTTATAAGAACAAGTTAATGACAAAGACTGGTCTTAAAGTGCGAGTACAATCCTCAGTATCAGAGTACCAGGCAGCCTTTATACTACGTTCCTACAAGCATTTCAGTTTAACTACAGCATATTACACTCAACCTTAACAAAAATTAACTGTTGACTGTCTGCATAAATATTTGCATAAATACAACATTTTTAATGTTGGCATTCTACTATGTGTGAGATCTTCTGAGTTTTGAAACTCGTGTGGTCAATCTAGAAACAAGGCTTCCTTGAAACACATGCAAGTTTTTATTTTATTCAAAGGCACCATTAAATGGAACAATGTAAACCAGTAAAGAACTGTCCATTCTTTGCAACTAAAAAGTAGCTGAATTATGCACCAGCTTCTCATTCCTCTCTAGGCACCTAATAGAAGTAGCTTAAGTACTGCATTAGGAAAGGTCTAACTAGCCATAAATAGAAACACAACTGAAAAGCTAAGTCAATGAATATTGCACAAGATTTGAAAACACCTTAGTATTCTAGAAAAGTTGCAAGTATGTCACAAGTTCATTTTCTCTCAGCTTTAACATCAAGCAGTATTAAATATCCTGCTGTCTAGAAAATCAGGCTTTAGTAATAGATCCCCTGCCTGAAAAATACAGAACAGTAATGGGCATAGCCTAATGAACAGTCTATTAACCCTAAATAAAGGTCAATTGATCTACAAATTTTATCATAGACAGACTTCTAGACCAGAAATTGCTGTGAAAGATGAGTATCTATGCTAAAGAGCACCCGTTTTACAGGGCTATTACCTTGTCCAGGTCTTGGGGTTGCAGATGTTCCACCAGATGGTAGTTCAGTCTCCTGCCAATTAATTATATATAACATTATCTGAATGCTCAGCTCCATAGTACCTTTCATATTACACCAGTATCAATAACAAGACTCACCTTTGCACTTGATTCCGGATCAAACCTTTCAAGGATTAGTTTAGCAGTCTTGTACGTTTCCTTTTCCATTACTTCCTCAAGCTGGAAACAGAAAGATTCCACACATCAATAGATAATTTTTTAAAATATTTCCCCCCACTACAGCCTCCCATTTACAAGCATCTTATCAATGTTACCAAAAGCCAAAGCTCATCCATGAACCACCAGTACCTTTTTCAGATACCTAAAGATTTGCTGCATTCAATCGAAAATAAATTTTGCTTTCAAAAATAGTTTCCAAACTCTAATGAACTACTTGTACTTAACAGCTTTATTGCAAGGAAACACCAAATATTGCTAATTGTTTACATATAATGAGGAGAATAATTACAAGCACCAACTTCAATAATGGAATGTGCAAAAATCTATCAGCCATCATTATTGGAAGTTATTAGACATGACAAGCAAATGACAGGCAATTCCTTAGATTTATTTCCTCATAGCACTTAATGCTATTAATTTAAGGAAGGTCGTTAGCCAAGTGCTTTACAGAATAAAGTCCCTGTGCCAATTAACTGCTGTCAGCATCGATTTTAGATTATTTATTAGCAGAAGCAATTAGCTTGCTGTAAATGCTGTGAAAACTCACTAACTAGAGAACAGCCATGGAATTTGCTCAAATGACTTTAAAGGCTGGATCCACATCTTTACTGCTTCTCAGAAAAAGGAACATGTTAAGAATTTAAATAAAAAAATTTACTGAGAACTATGCATATTTAGGGAGTGTAATTAAAGGATTTCATTATTACAACATTTTATTTACAATGCACTCAAGTGGCTTTATAACTAATACACGGGCTTAATTAAAAAAGGTAATCACTAGTAAAGTATCATTTCAGTGGTTAACAGCCAACATCAGAAGCAGCTTAACTTTAAAACTGAGATAGCTGAAGTTATGACAAATACCTAATATGTATACAAATTATATTACATTTTGCAGTATCTTAAGCAGACCGTTCTTCCTAGATATGCTGACTAATGGCCATGTTCAGCTAAATGTGGGGACTTTGCTTGTTCTGAAGTTTGCTGTTGGCATAAACTGCAAAACTGAAAAGGTCGGTGGTCAAAAAATTAAATTATCTCAAACTCATTTATCACTGCTAAAATAACAAATGGTGCAGGTTAACATGAATTTTATGCCATTATTTAGCTGGTGAGAAAATAAAGTTTCAGCTATTCTGCATACACTGTGCAGGAGTTTTGCATTTAGACAGACCTCAGGATTACAAACAGACCTCAGAAGCTAAATAAAAATTCACTCCATTTAAATGAAATACTGTTTATTCATTTAACACTCACTCCTCCACACATTTCTTGAAGTTTGAGGCAAGGAATACTATCCAGGCTGTTAATTAAGGACTGTTGAAACAAAAGGGAGTGAAGAAGGAAGTAAAAATCTATTTCCTATACTTGTATTTCAGCATCACTTTGGAGTTAACCCACTAACTTTGTAAAATAAATGCCACACAGTGCAATAAGAGCAGAATTAATGACCTAATAGGAAAAATAAAGTATTTATTGCTTATAAAAGTAAAAACTGTAAGACAGACTTTTATACAAAGGGGTAAGGCTAATGAGGTGAAGCTGCAAATTGGGGAAGCATTAACAGTCAGTGCTAATATTTGTCTGCCAAATCAAAATTTAAAAAACCCAATTCACTTCACATCAATGAACATTAAATGCATACTATTGTCTGTACAGCCAAAAAGAAAAATGAGTAATAACTTTCTGCAGGGCAAAGTGACCTTTAGGGGAGAAAAAAAACAGAATGCTCCACCATCACTTGACACTTTCTTTATCTAAAGCACTTTTTGCCACAGCAGTATTAGATAGCATAGTAACTATTTGTGGATACATAAGTTTTGCAACAACAGTTACATTATTTTGAAACATAATTCAGATCTTAATAAAGAAGCATGGTACCACTTTCTCTTCCTGTGAACAATTGTATGGATAAACTCCTTCCCAACAGGCAAACAGAATTCCTGTGGGAATGACATCAGCTGCCTAAATTGAACAGTATAAGTAATGTATTTTAGGCTTCTTGTAAAGGTAAGTTAGCAACCAAAGACTTAAATACTGGCATGGTGCAAACCATTCATTATTCATCATACTACTACATGAGTTCATAAACTGAGAATTACTTGGTATGTCAAACCCAAATTTGAGGACGTCCTTCTTTATGTTCACACAAAGCCACAAAACTCATTTCAGTCCATTTAAAATATACCAGTACACGTAGCAAAAGTTTCATTAAAATTGGAAATGCATTATTTAAGTCACAGTAATGAAGTATACTTTGAACAGATCCACGCCAACATTAAAACCACCAAACTGAGCCTTTGTCAGTAAATAAGATTTTAAACTGTATTTTGAGTTTCCAGTTGCGTATTTTCAGTACTCTAGCATTTACCAATTAGACAAAACTGGGCTTATACAAGAACCAACTCCTAGCAGAGCTTTTATCACATACTCAAGTTATCAAAATATCAATAGTTGTCTACACCTAGAAGGCTGAAGACAAAGTTGATTAGAGAGTAATTATTTCAAGTAACAGAACTCATATGCTTACTAATGTAACTCCAAGACAGCCTTGAAATCAGAATACTTTGGTATTTTTTCCTAGATTAACAGATGCAATTTCTAAACTCTTACCTGAACCGGCTTGGCAATCTGTCGAAGTCTAATATTACACTTAGCCTAGTATTCAGAGTACCTGAGCAAGCTTCAGCAAAGTTTAATTCTAAAATTAGCATAATAATCACTATACTAGCTTTACAACTTTGTCCTCAGGCTAAGAATTAGCCCATCTTTAAGACTGCTGTTCCAGGTAAATTCTCCACTAATTCCCAGCTGTACCAGCTTAATACATGTCCTGTACTCTTGCTTTAATATGCTTAACCCTCTGAACTTGCTCATCTACCCATGTTCATCCTCATTAACTGAGAAACTCTGAGGCCAAAGTCACAGCTAAACAGTCACAAACACAACCACAGTATCCCTCCTTATGATCAAGAAGGGAAACAAAGTTGTATCTTGAAGTAGTGTCTTAATTACAGCTATTTAAGTTAGTCCCTACCCCCCCTTAATAACTGAACAAGCTTTAAAGTATTCACTAGGAAAAAAACAGCACAGTCAATTCTGTGAGAAATATTACACAAACTTTGAGTCAAAGTACAGGATAGACAATACTAATGGTAATTTCCAGATGAATTATCTGTATTTGTCAAGTATTTTACCCACGTGACTTTGACTAAGTCACCAAAGCCAGAAGACAAGTCAAACAGAAATTAATTTCTATTAAGCAGTCACTGCAAACCCACCAGGGCATTATAGCAGATGAGGAGCTTACACCATTTACAGGTAAGCCCTGTAACCACCTTATGTCCCTTCAGCACACAAGCAATGTCTGCAGGGAAAAGGTGGGCCACAGGACTGTAAAACACAAGTACTGTAAGGTTTTTCAAGAGGACAATTGTCTTCAATAGAAGATCTAGCCAGCAATTAAGTAGCTGAGCTGCAACAAAGTGAAAAAGCACAGATGTTGCAGCAGGCTTAGTGCCTAGACAACAATCTGCATTACAAATAAACAGGAAAAACAATTTACTTATCCTAAATACTTTGAGGACAATGTAAATTTCTTAGTAACTAATCCTATTTGCAAACTCAGCAGCAAATCAGAATTCAAGAGGAAAAAATCCTCTCTCCCCATTATTTCACTTGAATTTTGTTTTACTAAAAATTAGCCAAACGCACTCCTAAGAAAGTTAATCAAACAAAACAAAATCAAATCTGAGAATTACCAAAATTAAATTTTACAGAATGCAATTGATTCAGTGTTTTTATCTAAAACACTAATTATATTCTGTCTTATTACCTGCATCCCCTTTCAGCTCATTTCAACATATTCTGTTTTATGTATAATTATCTAATTTTAATGCTTAACTGAATATCTTAAATTATGATGAACCTCCCGAGTGAAAAATACCAACACTGCACTGATTCAAGAGGTTGCAGTAAGTCCTGTGTTTCTGGTTCCTTGCTAGGAGCAAGACACCCACAAGACCATGTGATAATCACTGACTCTGAAAAATAGCTGACTTACACATTATTGGACTTCCCAGAACTCAGATTCACTAATCCTATTTAGAAGTTTGTCTTTAATGACTAAAGCTTGACTTGCTTATATACTCATGGCAATTTATACTCCCAGACTTAAATTCTCCATAGTAACACTATAATTTCAGTATTGTCTATGAAGTATTTATGCAGTTGTCCCATTTTTGTATTGTGCATTGTTTCATCCTGTTTCTTCTACAGTATGTTGTTTTGATGTTTTGAAAAATACACATTTATGTTTTTCCTGATTAATCTTTTATTCAATGCCTTTTGTCCTAATTGCTTCTCACACTCAAAAATTCAGTATTACTAGTCTTTCTACAAAAAAAAAAAAAAATTCATTATTACAGAAAACTACAATGAAGACTTTACAGTTAAGATTCCAAAAACTCTTTTGTTCTCCACTGTGCTTTTTCTGTTTAAAGAGCTTTTCCTTTAAGGCTACCAAATGACTATGTTAATTTGAAACATTGAGTGATTTCAGTTAAGCAGTTTTCATAAAATAAGCTTAACATAGTTGTCATGCTTATGTTTTTCCTTCCTAGAAAATGTAAGCCACTCAAACCCCTTTGTATCACCATTACAAGCAAACGACACATCTATTTAAATATTAGCAAATCCTCTTTACCAAAGGACAATGACATAATTAAGTTACAGGTTACCTTTTTTACATATACATTTTAAAAGTGATAAAACATAGATCATGACATAATACCAGACTCTGAGTCATCTCATTTTTGATACCTTTGTTCTGGGTTTTTTATTATTTCAGCTACCATGGCAAAATCCAGAAGGTATGAAGTGGACACTTTGGGAAACTCATTAATAACAAAGACTCATAATTGAATTTTTGGAATTTCTGGAAGGAGAAGGAGTTGCTTTGGCAGGGTAGGGTCGGGGGGGCAGAGAGTCTTTGGGTTGTGGCAGTTTTAAAGTCTTGCCTTACAAGGCAGGTGAAGCCAATCATGTAAGAAAACAGCTTCTTCTCTCAACAAGCTTCCTTATGGAGTGCAAACAGAGAGGAAACAGCTTACAGTGTTACAAACTTCGCAAGAGGGCAGGTTATCCAAGACTTGGAACCTTGTCCATCCTAATTTTTTCTTAGTGAGATTAACTGTTGATCAAGTTTGTTTACAAATATCTGGCATACACCAGTTTTAGTGAACAATAACAAGCATTTTTTCTTGAAGTTTTACTTACTATTTTTTTCTTTTGGGATTTCAAATCTTCCAGAGCATCATCTAAAAGAAAGACATTATCTATTAGTTTTCAAATATAAATTAAGATATTTCAGCACAATCTAAACATTGACATTACCTTCTGAAATCAGGAAAAATTATGCATTGACCACTACCAACTCTAAACATCAGTAAACTTCGTATAAAATAACTAGAGATTTATGTGAAAATAAATCACTTAAAATGCTGAACCTGCTTATAAATTATGACCCACTGTTATCACTTCACAGTTATAACTATTAAAAAATGTTATGTACCATTTCCTCATTAAGCAAACCAATTCTAGCCAGTGCCCTGCTTTGACCTACATTAAAACTGGTACAACAATGGACCAAACACATTTAATCTCGTGACTCAAAATATTAAAAAAAAGCTTGAGGTCTAAGCATTAATATATCTGAGTACCAGATTTACTGGCTTCAGTATTTCACATAAACCTCTTAACACATACTAGTTTCAAATGCCAGGTTGATTCCAAGCTTCAAAGCTCAATCTGTTTCACCCTTTGTATACTCTTGGTCTACAACAAAGCCCCCAGTTTTGTAAAAACAGCTACCAGAAGGTCACTTTACTACAAAATGTTAAGAGACTTGTACAACAGGTAGGCACAACACCTAACCTGTCTAAGAGGAAGAGAGAGAAGAAATGCCAAATGCATGTGGGATTCTCCTGAAAGTCAATGTTTGGAGCCTGACACTCTTGGAAAATTCACTGCAATAAACCATCACCTAACGCAGAAGATACTCTCTCACCAAACTAGCTTTCTACTACCTTTTTTCACAGCAACAGATTTTAAAAATAAACTACAACTTTTTACCCTTTCTCAGTTCTACTGAACATGGGCAGCTTACTTCCTGTAAAAACACACCTAATCTTACCCATTTTTCAGATTTAAAGAATTTTCAGATTTAGAACTTTATAGAACTACAAGACAAAACCAACCAAACACCCTTTATTTTTACTATTTACAAATACGTATTCCATATCATTCAAAGTTACTTCAAGAAAACTGTTACTTTAAATTAAGGGAACAAATAATTACTTGAATTTTTCCAGAATGCAGAAATCCATCTTGATCAAATACACCTCTTTATTAAATGTGCAAAATACTACAACTGGCACGCACATATTGGAAAGGTTATTATTTGGGCAATAAAAGAGTAACTACAATCACCCACATTTGTTAATAGGACATGGAAAAAGACAATATTTAATCCTGGGATGGACAATTCTACAAAGTGTGCACCTTCAAATTACTAAGATACCTCCTTTCACCAAATGTTACATTTATATTAGAACACAGTCTCACACATTGCCTCACACAGATTAACAGCTTAAAATGCATTGCAATACAGTGTGGTATCATAAGCCCAAATAAACAGAACACAGACAGCTATTAACGCTTTCTCAAGAAACTGCAAGTGCTTTTGGTACAGAAATGCCTAGAACATCTTCAAGAATAGCCTTCCACAAAGCAATGCAATCAGTTTCAAGTGTGGGTGTTTCTGATCACTTCACCTCCTGTACTCAACAAGAACCTCAAGAAACACCTGCCCTTTAAACATGGCCAAATGGCAATTACTGCAAAGTACTCTCAAGAAACCAACATATCTCCTCTTAATTAAACCTACAGAAAAAAAGGAATTCATACTAGGGAAGTCAATACCTGCAATATACCTCATTTATTTTCTCCAGCTTTGGGACAGATCAGCCTATATCTTTAACAGTTGTTTACCTGACCAGTCCTAAAAACTGAAATTCCATAATCTCTGCATCACCTTCCCTGAAGTCTAGCTACTAATTTTCTTCACTCAGAGCATCATTCCCAAATCTTGTGTATACCAATTATCCAGCACAGAGCTTTACTGTATTAAATAACCTCCTCCAGTGTCTCAGGATGTTATACTAACTTATCCCAGAATAAAAATTTGGCTTTGAGCAACTTGGTTGACACTTTGCTCTCTCAGCTACACTTTCTTCTGCTTTACTGCTTCAATCCTACATCTAATTTTTCTTTTTCAAATATAGGACTTTTATCTCTGAGGTAAAACACTTCATTTTTATCCAGTCTCTGGGACCACACAGAAATAATCCCTTTTGTCATGTTCTATCATCTACTAAACCCTTTAAACACAAGTTCAACAAAAGCACTAGACTTGCCTGTATGCTCAAAACAGCAATAAAGACATTTAAGCAAACTAGAAAAACATACTTTTTTTTCTTATTCAGCCCATGAAATGCAAATCGTTCATTTCACCTCAGAAATGAATCACACAGCACCACATAATATATGGACAATTTTATTTCTACATAAAAATGTATGTTCTGTGCTTGCATATCAAATGCAAACATTCAGTTTAAGAAAAATTCTAAAAGTGATGTTTAACTTGTAAGCTGTCACAAATTAAATACATCATGCTGCTCTGCAAGTCATAAAACACAGTGCAACACTGAAGTTTTCCTGTATTATTGCTCACATCACCATGAGATATTGTTACAGGCTGGACTGCTTTCAAGGAAAGTCTCAAATGAATTCTAAATACTGCAGACAAGTGCCACAGATGCTGTTTTTAAATAGCATGCAGATTCATCCTAATGCAAAATTTAACAACTTTTTATATATATTTTAAAACCTCCATTACTTTTGGTTTTGTTACATGACTTCCAATTTTCCTTAGCTCTCAAAAAAGCAGAAAAACACCCACTTATACCTTTCCCACTCAGGATAACGTAAGTATGCTTTGGAGAACTTGGGAGAGAAAAGACATCCTGACAAATAAATTAGACACATCTGCTATAAATCTCTTCCTTTTTGTATAAGGCTAACAGATGACTGCTAGAATACTTGTGAGACACAAATATCATGGGAACTACTACTACTGTTCATATTTCCTTTCTTCTTCCTCCTACTTCTACACCATATTTTATTCCATTACACTTTTGACACATGCAAAGACAGGAGATAGCACAATTTTATAAGTGAAGTGAAAGATTAAGAAGATCCTTCCTGTTCCTTCATGAACTATGTGGCAGAACAAAGTTGAGCTAATACTACCCACTTCAATATTAACTAGAAGGCTTCTCTTGTCTTCCTGGAAGCCAAATGATCAAAAGCATTTACATTATTAGAGTAAACATTATTCTCAACTAGCCACATAGTCAAAAAAAAATAACATAAGGAAAAAGTACTTACTATTTCTTTCTGTCCGTTTGGAAAAGAAAAAAATGAGCATTGTTCTTATACACCAGATTCTTTAGAACAAAAAGAAGAATTTTATTAGTTAAAAACATTACAGTAACCATTGCTGAAGTCATTTAGCAAACATTTAGCAGATGAAATTTTATTTTCCAAATACAAAGGACAGAAACCTTCAAACACTATTCATATAAAAAACTAAAGATTCAATTAGCATCTTGTCAATAAGACATCAATATTGCTCTAAATAAAAGCATCTTCTCCATTGAAATTAACTGTTACTTAAGGCAAAAATACTAAGGCAGCAGCAGCAATATCACTTACTAAAAAATGTTCAGCTGAAAATTACTTAGTCATCACTTCTTATTTGATAGATTTAGAATACATTTTACCCGAAGAAAAGAAACTTAGCAGTTGAGGCCCAAAATTAAGGCCAAGAGATTTGTGGGAAGAATTCTAATACCAATGAAAACCATGAGATAAGAGCTATTGTACAAATGTTCTCCCAAGCAGAATTAACTGACCTGAGTCCTAGTGGTTTTAGAAAGCCCTAAGTCTACTCAGTTTCTGTAGGGTTTCAGCTAACTTAGCTGGAGCAGTTTATGTCAAGATGAAGTTAAACTGATCTATGACCATTTTACAATTGACAGGTCTCTCTGCAATCATCAGGACTTCATTTGTTTTAAAGCTTGGTATTGCTTCTACATATTAAGCTGACACTTTTCCTGGCAAGTTATTCAGTCTAAGCCAAGTGGCAAACTTCATACACCAAGCTATTCCAAGTATACAAAACCCTCCTAATGTTAATTAAATAATAGACCCTAAATTAGCAATATTTCATTTAAGAAAAAAAACAATCTTAAAGGCTAGAAAGGTCATCTGACTAAAAGCATGCATAAGAAAGCAGGCAAAAGGCTTTAAGAGCTTTCATAATGCCTTAATTATTAAGAACATCTTCTGTATTTATACAACAGTTGCCCAGTTAAAAATGCCTTCAAGCAATAACAACACAGCCCAAGTTAGGCAAATTGGATGAGGCACCTGGAGTCTGAAAGCAGCCTATTCAAGGTAAGAGAAAAATGAAGTATTCCATGTTCAAACGTGTGCTATAATAATTGATCTAACAATACAGGTGGATTTATCCACTTACACAACACAAAATGTGTCTTCATAAAGTACCAAAAGAAATAAATGTTTACAGGACTTAAATTGCCTTAAATACCTTGTTACACAGGCAAAAGCATTATTTCTTTTTAAATGTATGCTTAATAGTCTTCTACCTAAAGCTGTATTCTAAATATGAAGTCAGACATTAAATAAAAAAGCATTTCCTCAGTAAGAAATCTGAGAGAAAAGTTTAATAGCAGACCATTTCAACCAATTTTACAAAAAAGAATAGATATTTCTATGAAAATCACAACATGCAAATTAAAAGTAGTTCAAAAAAAGATCAGTTCAAGAAGAGCACCCTTCTAAAATGCTAACATATTTCTTCAACTTTTCAGGCATTTCAGTGTACATTTAAAGTTAATGAAGTTATATTCCTAAAACTTAACTTCCTTTACCAACATCAGTAACTTGCTGAGACCCTGAGGGACTGACCTAAGGCAGAAATAACTTGGTGACTGACTGCAAGCTGGAAAAGGCAGACATACTCCAGTTTGATTAGGTCTGAAAAATCTCTAGAGCTATTACTGGGTGGCACCAGGCATTCAGCATGGAGTCACCTCTTGACCTAGAACAAAGACAAGCTGGCAGCTGCTTGCCATTCATATCTGCCAAAAAAAGCTGAAGGGGAAAAGCTTAAGGAAAAAAAAATCTGATAAACAGTTGCAAGTCATAAGAGAACAACAGACTGATTCCAAGTGCTAGTAAGCTGACATCTAAATCAGAATTTTACAGGAAGCCATCTTGAGAAAAATAAGCAGAACTGGAAGAAAAACTAAAGAATAAAAGTCCAACATGTAAATTCAAACCACAGCACTAGAAGCCGTCACCTTCAATAATAAAAGCTTTCATTTCTACACTAATTCTAACACACCTATGTGAAAGGAGGCTGGTAATACTTTCTCTTTTACAGGCCTTTCCTAACAGCATGAAGAAGCCTCACATATTAACAACAAAGACTTTTAAATGCTTGTCCTTAGGAACAAAATTAATTCATATTACTGGCAAAGATCAATTTGAGCTCTAATTTCTATATTAATCCTTTCCACTCAAGATCCTGCTGCTCATGTATCCCCTCTGCAGGAGTCCACAACAGCAGCATATCAGTATATTTGAGATAATGCAGTATGACATACAAAAAAAAGCATGCTCACCTTGGGGGTTCTCCACATGTTACATTATGCTGACCCACACTCATCAAACTTGCAAAGCCTCAAATATTTACTTTGACTTTGCCTTTCAAGTCTAAAGCTAGGACATCTACAAACCATCCCTTCATACACAGGTGCTGTACAAATGGAAGTACTTGTGTTCCTTTCAGCAAATTAGCCAATGCACTGCGCTCCCCGTCGGTAGGAAAGATGCTCAGTAGGCTGCTCCCACCTCCCTGATGGTCTGGGAGGACGGGGAGGCAGCAAACCAGCTGTTCAGTGAGATGGGTGCCCATTTTGTTACTTGTAGAAAAGTAGATTTCTTAGACAACAAAAGCCACTCATCAAGATAAGCAGCATCAAGATAAGCTCAGTGAAACCAAGGCAATACTTTCTCTAGTTGACACACAATGAAGTCTGTATAGTTTCTTGTTGAAGAAAACAATGATTTTTCAGAAAAGCTAATTATGTAAAAGTAGTTTTCAACACACTTAGGGTGATTACCTTTCAAGTCCATTCTCTGTTAATAGTCACCTAACACTAATGTTAATACCTAACACTAATGAAACTAACTTTCTCCATTCATTCTTGTATTTTCCCAGGTTTGTACACTACATTTTACGCGTAGGTGACATACTTTTGGTTACTTCTGTACAGTAATGTGACTTCTCAAATTGCAGCAAAAATAAAACCCAAGAAACAGAGTAAAAATAAAACCCTTATACTAAATTACCTTACAGCTGTTCAGACACAGCTCTGTAGCCCCAGTATAATTTTGATAAGCCAAGTAACTTTAGGTGCTCTTATCTTTTGATAAGACTTAGTTCTATACTAAACCCAGACCCATGAGAGACATTCTCCTCAAAGAAAGTATCTGCCTAACTACTTGAATCTTTTCTAGAAGAAAAAATTCAGCAAGTTATGACATCTCAAGAATTGTCAAAGCAAACCCAAACCCCTGCTGAGATGTATTTTCCATCTCTTTTTATAAAAGAGACAGCAGTTAGAAAATAAAAAAAGCATATTTACTTACATCAATGGAAACGCAAAAAATGGAAGTGTCATTGTCAGCCTTGCTGTCCATTCATCAGGAAGACACCACAAATATACAATTAAGCAAGTAATAAGGTAAAGAAGTGAGGAGTAGAGAAGAAGCCTTCCAACCCATAGTTTCTGTAGCCTCTGATTTTTTTCTCTAAATTCTTCTAATGTCTGTATTTCCTGCAAATAAATAGGGTTTGGCCTTATTAGTGCAATTAGTAAGAGGCTTTACTAAGCTGCCTTCAAATGTTTGTTAAAATCAGCCCTATCAATCTGATACTTGATGAGAAAAGTCAAGCAGCTCTTTGATAAATGACAATATTTGCCCAAAGATAACTTTCATAGCATAAATACTCCACACTAACAGGGCTATGATACAGGCCACTTGCACCTTATTAGCAATTGGTAAGAGAAGTTAAAAATCAGCACTTTTTCACACCTGTAATGCATTAGTATATTTGGGACAAGTGAAAAATACCAGTATCTTGTAAAATACCAGTACCTTATGGCAATCTTTACTGTCACATAACTCACTACTAACCACACTCGGCATTCTAAAGCTTTCATCAGGTACCTGTGGAATTTTAAATACCTCTGACATTTTTCTACTAACATAGTGAGTTGCTGGAACCTCTCCACTATTTTACTTGTTTTCTTCTCAGTACTTTCCTCACATTAAGAGTGCAATCATGAACATCTGTACGATGCTTCTGGTATATTAATAAGTGATCAAGCAAGCTCTGCTACAATAACTATTTTGACTGTATTTCAAGTGACAACAAAAGTACTCAGTTTCATTAAAAGGAAAACAAACATATCAACAGTCTATTTCAAAACAGTTAATTTCCCCACAGAGTACAGATATCTGTCACAAATGCTGGTGAAAAATCAGAATAGATTACCGAACAATCTATCCAGCTATTCTGACCTTACTAACTACCACTAGAGTTGTAACTTCTGCACATAAAACCATACATTGAAGCTTTTCTAAACGACCTGATAAATGGAACTTTGCATTAGTGATACTTTCCTTTACATGGGACTTAAACAATTAGTTAAAACTGAATTGTTTAATCAAGGTAGCTTCATACTCATTCCCAATTCAGGCTCTCTAAATAAATACTTGCCCTATAGTTTTTCTCTATTATACAGTATTGGTTTTTTAAATGCCTAACAGTAAGGGGAGAAATTATAACAATTCCTCTGATATGCAGAATCTCTACTACTGGAATAATTACCAAAATAATTTACGATTTCATGAGAGTATTTTACCTAATGTGAGAGAAATATATGGCCAGCAAAATGGATGTATATTTCTAAACAAAAAAACCAAACAAAACACCAAAAAGCAAACACATACCTTATCTATTTTTTCTAATACTTCTACAGTGGAAGGCTTTGCCTGCTTACAAGAGAAAGAACAAAGATATTAATCTCACGTTTAAAAACTCGGTATTTTGTGGATTACTGTACATTAACAGTTTCCTAACAAAAAGGCATACCCATAATACTTTAGTGTGACAAATAGAAGGGACTGTAATGAATCATTATTTTACAGCTGGCATTACTCTTATCTGAAAGCTCCTCTCCTACATCACAAAAAATAAAAATCTATAATGCTTCTACAGCAATAATGAATGTGTAGGTGGAAAGCAAAACAAGAACTGAATTGATGAGTGGCAGAAATAGGCAAAATACAGAATATAGAGAGGAAGCCCTAATCCGAGTACTCCAACTTTTTATTACTATTCATTCCACATAAGGACACATGGAGTAAATAAAACATAAGCACCTGCAAATAAAAGCTGTCATGACCAGTAAAATTCCCTATAGGAGCAACTGGAAATCCACCTTCTAGGAATCTTTCCTAATATCTGAGAATTATCAAGCCACAATCTTACCCCACAACAAATTCCAAAGCCATAGCTCACACTGTATATCCCTGAAAGTGAGTTTCTATTATACAAAACTGACAGTCTACCTAAAGTTTCACCTTTAATGGAGTTTTGTATGGAAGACTTTGCAGTCACTTGCTAATAAGCAAAGGCAAACCTAGACTCAAGCAACTCGCACCTGCCAGAAGAGTAGTCAAAAACCTAAAGCCTCTTCTTCCTCCTAAACTCAGGACACCACCCAACAACCAATAAAAGAAGATAGAAAGAAAGACTTGTACAGGAGTAAGTAGCTACCAAATTATTAGTTTAAACAGCCAGAAATGTATTTTGCACATACCCATTTTTACCTAGGTCACCAATCTTTCAAGTCACAGATGCTGCAGTTTCTATCCCAATGATGCACCACAAAATAATTTAGATTTACAGAAGGAGTTAAAAGCTTTATTTTTTTAAGTTAAACAATCCAATGGCAGACTGGTACTGCAAAGGAAATGAAGGACAACAGCATAGTTTCACAGTTTAGTGATTTAATAAAGAATACTTTTGGTCATGATATCTCACTACTGGACTTTTAAGTGACATACTAACAAAAAAAGTTCAGCACTATCATTCAGCCAGCATTAATAGTCAACATGTCCTAGATAATACCATCTTCTAGACTAAAGGTTATTACATTGTTACACAATGTTACTTACCCTCCATCTTGAAATTAATCCACCCATCTTCTATTGTGGACAAATGCTGGCAGAGCTATCAATCTTCTACAAGAATTCACAGCTAGAAATAAAGCATTAAGCACTTAGGAGTAATCTAACAACATAATCAAAGATTCTCAAATTCATTCCAACATCTTAAGAAATCAAAATACTGTATGAAGCCATTGTCTAGCTATCTATCCATGTGCTATTTTTAAATTCAATTTTCTGATTCATAGGCCATCCTGTATGTCTGTTGATCAGCTCAGATGTGGCCAAAGTTATTTTTATTTTGGAAATACTTAACCAGCAGGGACTTCTCAAAAACACAGACACAAATGAATTGCAAAAAGAGCCACCAAAATACTCCAGCAGAAAAACAATTTTAGAAACTTAGTATTGGGCACGATTATTTAAGATACTGATTTCCAGTTATTTCCTCTGCTGCCCCTAAGCATAACTCAGTATTCCTTTTTAGTTGCAACTCTAGGCATTCCACATCAACACCCTGTTAACATCTCATCCTGTTCATGAGAAAATTTCTCAAATAAATCTATTCCCTTCTTATGCTCTGATCAACAAGAATGTGCTGTGTACTCAGTTTTAAGTTCAAAGAACCAGTTTCAAAGATTTCATTTGCTATACAAAAGCACTACATTGGCAGGTCTTCCTTGCACAACTCACAACCCAGTCATCAGCACATCAAATAACTCTAAAACAGTTCCAAAGGGGCAAGAGCAGCTCACCTCACCCTAGGCAAACGTGGAACCCATGAACAACATTACTTTGGTGATCTGGGTCTAAGCTCCTGAAACAAAATAGTAGCAACTTCCCATTAGAAGATAGTTGAATAAATTGAACCTTAGTATGGCAGACTTTCTCTCCATCCATTTAATATACAATTTAACAAAAAAGTAACCAGTTCAAAACAACCCTGAGAGTAAACTAATGCTCAATCCCAACCAGGACTCAAACCTTTTTCACTCTGGAATGAGATGATAACACTTAATAAAACAAAGTACTGATCTAGGTAGACAGAAATATAAGTGATCATTATCTTGCTTATTAAGTTTCCTTTGGCCAAAAATGGAAATATATATTTCAACCCAAATTTATTTTCAAATTATCTGAGGCCGTTAGAGCAATTTAATATGTATATGATATATACTAGCACAAACACTGCTGTAGTCTGATAACCTCCTTATCTTTTAAGAAAGCCAAGGACTTCAGTACTATAGATCCTACTGGTGTCAGAAACCAATCCTTAAAGATAAAGAAATCCATATCAGAAATGCCACAAGAACGAAGCTAGAACAAATGGGCAAATTATCTCCACTGCTGCCAAATTAGTAGCACAAAGGGGTAGAGATATGGAAAAAGCAATTACCCCTTGGACTCGAACAAATTCTCAAAATAATCACTACTGCAGCAACTCACCTCAGCAGAAGAGCAGTCTTTTTTTTTTTTAACACACAATCTAACACCAAGAATTTTACACAAATGTGACTTTACATTACAAGCATGGTTTTCCATTATGGATATTGCAGTACATCTGAGCTTACACTTTCTTCCCAGATATTACTACAGAGAGATAGCTTTTACATTGTTTTGCAATAAAGATACTGTGTCAAATAGCCAACTGAGAAGTCTGTAAAGCCAGCACAAGGCTCCCAAATCTAGCTTGTTTCCCTAGCATTAAAAAAATAGCACATAGGTAGATAGGATTTCCACTGCCCTTAGGAGCAATGGTGGCTCTCAGCTGTGGGCGTAGAGAGACAGAGATGCTCACATGGCCTTTGTGTGTGCCATTTGCCTTCAAACCATAGTTTGAGAACCTCTCCACTGCAAGTCTTAGAGGAACTTTTGGGAACAAATTATCCTTGAGCAACTGGTGGCTCTTACTTATAGCAATAACACATTCACAGTACTATTACTACGCAAGGTTGTTTTTGTTTTTTTTAATACCTGGCAAATGCTTGGAAGAGAAACAGGTTCAACAAGTGTCATTATGCATTTGATTTTGCAGGAGCTAAAATGATGACAGGCTTTAGAGATGCTGCTCTGCAAGTCTGCAATGCTACTAAAACCCTTCCCCAATGACATATTAAGGGATTAGGGCCACTAGATTCACATTTACAGTTCAGTCACTGAATCGTCAATGAGGAGGTGGAAAATTTTCTATGATTACTATAGAGTGGCTAAGATGCTTTCCTTCTTCCCCTCTGTTCTTCTTGACATGACAACACAAAGTGTCTTCAACTGCTTCAAACTCTCCTCCTTACCTGCCACTCCACAAACCTACAACTAATATCTATCCTACTATTCACAGCAAGAAATCATCCACAAGTTACTTCCTTCCCATGCTCTAAACAACAAATTATTGCACAGGACTTTTCCCTTCTGAAGACTGTATTTTAGCACTGAGCTGTGCATTTAAATGACTAAGTAGAGCAGTTGTACTTATTTCCACACACATTATCACTGATGCAACACACAAGTAAGACAGCTGCAACTGTCTTGAGTTTAAAACAGACAACACACGCATGGAAAAAACAGAGAAGCTTAAAAAAACGCTACTATCAATTTTATTACATTACTCTCTCAAAAAAATATTTATAGCAGCTCCTCTACTCCCAAAACATTCAAGTTATTTATTAAAAAGGAGAAGTGCCAGACTAAGAGACCAGAGCAGAAAAAGTTTCTCCTTTGAAAGAGGCATAAATCCACTAAGTCATCCACACCCATACACCCAGGTGGAGAAAATAGCTTCATGATCTCATTACACTTTTATCAAGTCAGTCTCAAATTTCTTCAGGCTTGTTAATGTTTTTAAGATTAAAGTTCTCCAAAACGCAGTCTCCCAAGTAAATTTTAATAACTGACATGCTGAAATGCAAGACTGGATAACATCAAGAGAAGACATATTACAAGAAAAAAAAAAAAAAAAGGAAGTTAAAACTTGTAATCGAGGTTTTGCATACAGTCATACAGACGTCTCCCCTTAAGGAACAGGCAATGCTTTTGAAATAGATATTTTTGCCAACTTAGTCATTCCACTTTTTGTAAGTATTTTTAGATATTTACCACTACAAAGAACACAAATTCTACCTTTCAAATTGAATCTCTAGTTCTGCTTGCAGTTCACTCAAAATTTACTGGCGTCAGAAACTTCTACTGGGACCAAAAAAAGTTTCTCCAGCTGAGCGCTGCGGACAAGGAAACAAGCAAAACCAAACCAGGAGCATCACCCACCACCTACTGCTAGCCTGTCCTAGGACACTTCAGTTACAACAAAAAACTAAACTTTTTTCCATTTAAACCTCATTTTCGGCTGTTTTAGTCTGGACGTATCCCACAGAAGCCCTACGCTTTGCAGAGCCTCAATTAAAAAGGCAAATTAGTTCCCGCACGGACTGCACAGCGACGGAGCGACAAGTGGGTGGGCCAGGCGCTCTTTTTTGAAACCCAACCCGGCGCGGCCCGGGCGGGCGGCGGCCAGCGCGGGCCCGGCGGGCCGGGAGGCGCTGGCCGAGGCCAGCGGAGCCCCCGGCCCCGGCCGGGACAGCCGCGCCGCTCCCCGCCACCGCCCGGGGCGCCCCCGCCCTTCCCCGCCGCCGGGGCTTCCTCCTCAAGGCTGCAGCACGGCCCAGCCCGCCCCGCTCCCCGCGGCCAGGAGGGGAGGGAGCGGGGAGGAGGCACCTGCCGCCCTGCCCCGCTTCGTGCCCTGGGGCCGGTACCTGCGTGCTCCTATGGGGAGCGCCGGGCGGCCCTCACCCGTCACCCCGCGCCCCTCTCCCACCGCGGAGCCGCTCGGGGCCGGGCCGTGCGCCCCCCGCCATCGCGTACCTGCCGCGGGCCGGGCCGCGCATCCCGCCCGCCGCCAGCGCCGCCGCAGGAGAGCGCGCCGCCCGGCCGCTGCTCCCACAAGGCCCCGCGCGGGCGCCGCAGCCAATCAGCGCCTCGCTGCCGCGGGGCGCGCTGGCGCGGGGCGGGGCCGCGCGGCGGGCGGCGGCTGCGGGGCCGGCGGTGCTGTGGGGGCTGCGCTCCGCACCCCGCTCTGTGCCGTAACGTACCGCTCCGTGCCGTGCCGTGCCGTGCCGGATCGTACCCGGCCGTGCCGTGACATGCCGCTCCCGCCGCGCTTCGCGGCCCGGCCCGGGCGGTGTCCCGGGCGGTGTCCCGGGCGGCTCTGCCCAGCCAAGGCCAGGCGGGCGGGGTCGAGAGGCGCTGATCGCCGGCGGCGCTGTGGGCGGCGAGCCCGGCTTCCTGCGGCTCTCGCTCTTCTCTTACAGAAAATAAAGGTGTTTAAATGCAAAAACGGAGGAGCGTGAGGGTCAGACGGTCATGTGGAGGTTTGCAGGCCTCCTGACGCTGGTGTTGGCCAATGAAGCAGTGCTGGCACAGGAGCGCGTGTGTTCTGCAGGCGCGGAGTCCCCTTAGGGTCACAGCGCAGGGCTGCTCTCACCGTCCCCTTCCTCCCGGTCGGCATGTGTCTTTGGAGAGAAGCAGGACTCTGAGTTTATTTAAATTCCATTACTGTAATCACAATGTCCTCTCCCTTGGTGGTGTACTTCCATCAGCTTTCTTAACGTTGCAGGCACCCATCCCTTGCCTCATGCCAAGAGGACACAGGAGCAGAGAATAAATACTTGCTCTGTGCTTCTGACATGCACTGTTCAGAAGTTTTACCATTATACTAACATAAGTGCATGTGCATAGATGTGGAAGAAAGTCCTTCCAAGTGCCTTGTAGTAAAAGTTGCAGTGCAAAAGCTGTACATCTTCAGCTGACCCTGCATTGTTGAACTTCTTGCATGTAAGAGTGCATCTACCCCCTCAGGAAGATGGGGGAGATACTAGGAAAAGTCAGAGAGCTCATGGGTTGGGTTAAAGGAAAGTTTAGCAAGTGAAGGAAAGAAAAAAAAAAGTGATGCCAGGGGAATAACTAACCACCTCCCACAAGCAGACTGATGCCCAGCAAGTCTTCCAGCAATTGATGATTCTGGAAGACAAACCCCCCTCCTACCTTCTTATTCTGAAATCCCATTTTTATTGCTGAGAATGACATTATGTGGTGTGGAATATCCTCTTGGCCAGTTTCTGTGTGCTATCCTGGCTATTTCCTCTCCCAAAATTGTTGCCTATCTCCAGCTTACTCTTTAAGGAACAGAGCATGAGAAAAGATAAAGCCTCAATGCTGTGCAAGTCCTGTTCAGCAATGGCCAAAACATTGCTGTGTCAATAGTGCTGTTCTAGTCAGGGAACACAAAACACAGCAGCATATGGGCTGCTGTGAAGAAAATTGCTTCATCCCAGCCAGGCCCTGTACATGAACTCAAAAAGAATCGGAAAAGCTTTTAGACCAGAAGAGGACAAACAAGATAACCCATCACCTGTCCAGGCAACACAATCAGCTTCAAGCTTTAAGTGGTAGAGCTGCTGAGTCTAATCATCTGCAAGATTCATTCTTAGTCTGGACATTGGGAACTTATCTGTTTAGTTCCCACCAGTGTTCAGTGTGAATCTTGCTGCTCACATGATTACAGTATTATATAAGTAACAACTTCAGCTGTGAATCAGGGTTTGGAACTGGCTTCAAGACACTTCATTCAAATCAAGATAATGGTGATCAATGGAGAATCACTGACTCTACTGGAAATACTCGGCTATCGATTACAGAGCTCACCTACATATACAACTTCACCTACATATACAACTTCATTTTTCTCATTGAGGCCTAGACTGTTCCTTCCTTTCCAAGTGGAAAAAAGACTCAGTGACTGAGCCTCTCCTACTCTTCAGGTTGCATTCTAGAGCCACTTCTACTTAAATCCTTGTGACAATGATTATCACTTTGCTGAGAGGATATCTTTCTTTTTTGTTTCAGATCAATAGTCCACTTCTGACTTTGATACTTCAAAGTGGTATGTTGCTGGATACACACTGATTTAAATTTTGATTTTTAAGCTAAAACATTGAAGTGTGCTGACATATTTTTCCATGGTATAGCCTCATATCCATTTAAAATAAATACAAATAATGAAGGTACCATGTTTAAAGGCATTTGGAAATGCTGCAGGCAATACTAGTGTCTCCAAGAATCTGATGCATTTTTTTGCTTTTTTCTTTTTTCCAGAAATGTCATAAATGCTTTCAAGGAATCAACAAAATTGGTTCCTATTTCAGGGCTGAACCAGAATTGTGACGGAGATCCCAAACTCTGCTTCTGTCCTTGGGGCCTTTTCCAGAGATGGTTTTTATGCAGGCCTCTGCCATGAAGTTCTAATCATTGCTATTCAGTTGTGGTTCTCTGTAACTGGTAATTTTAAAAAAGTATTGTTAGCTACCATTACTGAACCTTACATGCAGATAAGCCTCTCAGCTGGGTGATGTTATACAATAGCATGCAGCTCCCTGTTTGCTTAAGCACCAAGATCTACCTAAAAAAAAAAGAAATTATGCCCATGTAGCTGCTGAGAGTAATAAAACTGAGTATAAAAACATAACTTTGAATCAGCCAGCTTAAAATTTTCATTAATCTGGTTCAAAACTGCCCCCTACAGAGTATTTAAAACTCTTAAATAGATTCCCTTCAAAATCCTTCATTATCAGTGGGATTAGTGTTTAACCTGACTTTGCATAACCGGTCTAGCAGCAGAGTACATCTTCAGAATTTTCCCCAGCATCATAGACAGCATTTAGCACTTTCAGTCCCTCTTTATGCAGAACACCGAACAATCAACTTATTTTTAAAATCAAACTATAACCTTAGTTTAGAATGTTTTGGTCTCGCCCCTTAAGACTGCTATTGAGAAGAGTTTTTCCATGGTAACATTTGTAGCATTCCTCTATTTTATCAATATATGTAGCCTAGTAGTCCAATTTTTTTTATTTTTTTTTTAATAAGTATATGGGTCTGTACATCATTTGGAAAATGCTGTCTTTTTAGTGTTGCCAAATTGTGTTTACATGAGGTTTTTTATTTAAAATGGACCCTTTTGGACTTCTCTGGCTGGTGAAGCCACATGGATGCTGGGGAGTTTTAGATGGGGAAACAGAACCTTTGTTTACACTGCAAATGGACTGCAGCAGATGAAGGTATGTATATAGCCTAAAGACCATGAGCTTCACTGCCCATGCTGTGACTGTACTCTATGCCATCTCACCATTTTTGTCACATCCCAGTTATTGGGCATTAGGTGCCTAATAGGCACATTGCATTGCTCAGGCTGAAACTGGGGTACCCCAGTTCCCTGGTGTGCCTTGGACACAGTTCCCTGGTGTGCCTGTTCTGTGCTCATTGCTGTACACCACAAGGGACTCCTCAAGAGCACAGCCACTCCAGGCCACTTCCTCATGCCCTGTGGGCATGGTGGTGATTAAAGCAAGGCCAAGCTGTTAGGGATACCATCCCAAGCTGTTAGGAACACCATCCCAAACTGTTAGGGACACCATCCCAAGCTGTTAGGGACACCATCCACGCTCTCCGCAGCTCTGCTCTCCACCTGCAAAGCCACTCTACCACCACTGGTGGAATAAAGGTGGTGCTGGGTTTGGGTGGCTGCAGCATCCTGACATCCCATCCTCAGTGGAAGGTACCACAGCATGTGGTGTTAGTGGACACCAAAATTTAATCTGATCAACAATAGACCACGTGTCTTGAGGCCTGGAATCTGTTTTCTCTGCATCTTTAGCAAGATGAGTGCTTGCTGGTATTTCATAAATGACACACATAGTAACTACACACATTTTTGAATGTCCTATGTAATTCAGCTTTGGGAAAAATATAATTATGTTTATGTATATTTTATTTACCATTTATTTAGAAAAGCAATACAGGAAGAATTTATTTTTTAACAATGCAAGGAAATACATATGCAATTCATTACTTTTGTGTGGGCATATCTGTAGTAAAAAAAGCCTCTACTTAGCTCTTAACTGATGTGACTGATTATGATGACTCCAAACTATTTTCTTTTTTGTTTTGTTGCAAGTTCCAGTTAGGACTAGGACTGTGAAAAGAGCAAGGGAAAATTGCTTATATTACAAGGGACAGATAGAACCCTAGTAGAAGGAATTGCTGAGCTGGAAGGAGTTGAGGCCTGAAGGCTGATATAAATTGGTAGCTTCAAGAAAGCTTAAAATTGGATTAACCAAATAAGTTGTGCTTCATTTTTGACATTCAGATCATTTCAGAGCATACAAAAAAGGTTGAACGCCTAAGCTGGGGTGACTTCAGTGACATATTTTGACAAGATGTGCTTTAAAAATATGTTCTACAACAACAGGACTGGGAAAGATATCCTAGTTTTGATTGATTTTTCATATGTAATAGTATATGCTTCTTTTGATGTTCTGATCCAACTGTTTTGGAGTACTCAGATATCTGTATTCTTACGGTTGCATCCAGTTCCCTGAGCCTTTCGGTATTTTGTCATGTAGGGCATTTGGATCACTTTCATTAAGTTCTTTGCTTGTGACTCTTGCCAGAAAATTATTACCTCAAAAAGAAATATATAATCCATCAAGTCAGAAGGGGTAATATCAAGTGAAAGGCTCGTACAAAAATCTCTTAGCAGTTGCATACAGTCATCAGAAAAAGCCAAGATCAACTTTTCCACTCCATAAAGTATTCTTGCTGTGATTAACACCTTTGCTTTTGGTTAATAATATTGCTATTATTAGTACTACTTACTTTTGTTATTGTCATGGCAACTGTTACTGTTGCTGTTACTGTTGATATTGTTACATAACATTTAATGATTATGTAGTTAGTTATTATTACAATTGTCACTGTTATTATTTCTATAGTTATTTTACTGGTTACTTCTCTGTTACTTCTCTGTCACACATTTAAAAGCATTCCATTAATTAATTAATAAATTATATTTTGTGTCTT